AAGATCATTTTGGCATAAAGATGGGTTACAATGACGCAATTTCAAAGACAATGACCAAAATAAAAGTGATTTCCGGTGGAAAAATTTTATCACTAACGTGTGGGTGTTGCTAGGCAACAAATATTGCAGTGTTTAATCTCCACCCTTCCTAAGGAATTGCATGATGAAAGAAAACAAGCTTTTGTAGCGTTTAGATACAAGAGTTGTGTCTAGTAATTCTTAGTCTTCTTTTTGAATGTTGTTTCTTTTATGCTGAAATACCTGTAATTCTTGTAAGTACGTATCAATCTACTCCCATTTTTTAAAAAGTTGGTTCTACTATCCATAATGATTAATGGGAATGTACTAAAATTACCATAAATCGATTAACAATATTGCATCACTATAATAGATGGCTACAAGTGACAAAAAAATAGATGCTAGTCATCTGAATCTGAATGCCTATATGATTTATTAGTATCAATACTTAGACAATATATGTAGACATGTGAGTTTCAAAGAGAAAATAAGCTCCAGAGATTAAGAAACAACTATGCTTTTATAATTGTTATTTGAAAAGATTTGTATGAAGCTAAGACCTTATTTAGTATCCCATGTATGCTTCAGTGCCTAAACAAGTTCCAGTAAAATTAAACATCCATAGGTAACTCTTATTTTGGAGCACACATTATATATTTAAGGAAATCTAAGAAATATCACGCATATTTTCAAGTTCTGGTAAAAAAGAACTGAATCTGATAAGTTAGAACAACTAACAACTTTTTAAAAAAATTTTATTTATTTATTTATGTATTTATTTATTTATTTATTTTTTTGAGACGGAATCTCACTCTGTTGCCCAGGCTGGAGGGCAGTGGAGTGATCTTGGCTCACTGCAACCTCTGCCTCCCGGGTTCAAGTGATTCTCCTGCCTCAGCCTTCTGAGTAGCTGGGATTACAGGTGCCCACCACCACGTCTGGCTAATTTTTGTATTTTTAGTAGAGACAGGGTTTCACCATGTTGGTCAGGCTGCTGTCAAACTCCTGATCTCATGTGATTCGCCTGCCTCGGCCTTGCAAAGTGCTGGGATTACAGGCATGAGCCACTGAGCCCGGCTGAAAACAACTTTGTATGTGGTTCAGTTTTCCCATCTATAAAATAGGGATAACACTAAAACATACTTGTATTATCACAGTAATGGTTATTTAATTAAAAATGGGGAAGCATTGGATGAAACACATTCCAATAAACGGTGAAGCTGTTATTGTCCCAAACACTATGTCAATCATTATGAAGTGGAGAGCTAAGAAATGATCTTTAAAAAGTTCATCTACATAGATATTCATGCTGCCATAAACCTCCACTTTTACAAATCTAAGAAGATGGTAATCCTTAGACTGTTAGAATAATTCGAATATTTGTTCTTAACTCTTATTTTCATGTGGCAATAACCTTGATTATCAAGGTTATCGACAATCTATCCTAGTCCAAAAGAGCCTGTAACAACCAAGGCTAAAGTCATGTTCATTACAGGATTTCTATATCGTATCTATTATTTCAATGAAGAACTAGAAAACAGGAACCTAGGAAACAGACTTAATGTTTCTTCTCAAGAATTATAATAATCTGTTAATGTGTATAAAATGATCCCTCCAATGTCTAATTTAAGAGCATGCCCATTGCAATTTTACCAATTCGTTTTGCCGTTCATATTATATTTTCTCTACAAATAGAAGAATAGGTACATGCCAAGAACTCAGAGTTCTCAGCAACTTTCACAATGTAACCATCCTTAAGATGGGGAGAGGGGAGAGGCAGATTTCATTTACTAAACCTTGCAGTAGTCAACATTAGCTTTGTAAAGCAATTAACCTTTGACATTACATTAAATTTATATCAAAAATGGATGTTTTAACCTCAATGTCAATCATTTTATAGGTGTGAAAACTGAGGCCCAGAGCCTTTGGAAAACCAAAGTCCTTCTATTAGCAGCTCCCCTAAATAATACTATGGTCCCCTAAAAACTACTACTTTATTATCAACCTCTTTTTCTCCTCCATCTTTCATAAAGATAATTAAGAAAAAAAGTCCTTCTATTTTTGGATCCAGCTAGCAAAAAGGGCATCTTATGCAAATTAACATTAGAATTTCAAAACTAGACCACTAAAATAAAGCATGCCACTAATTCATTTTACAGAACTTGAAGGCTCAACTTTAAGCTGGAGCACATTAGCAGAGTGGCAGTTAAATCTTCAAAGATGCTACACTTAATTCCTCTCTTTTCTGCATATGCAACCCTTTGCTCCCGTTAACAGGCAGACTGTATCTTTTCTCTGCGTGAATCTGGGCTGCCCTTGGGACTTATTTTAAGAGGCCTGCCACTTCTGCCTTCATATCCTCTTGGGGAAATCAGTCACGCTGTAGAGCAGCAGTTTGGGCTGGAGTCTGAAATGATGAGAGAGGAAGTGGAGACAGATAGTCCATGTAGAGAACACCTAACGGCCAGACCTGTTGAGTGAAGCGAGTGGACCTCCAAGACAAACCCAACTACCAGTCGAATACAACTGAAGGAGTGAAGCCAGTTAACTTTACAGGAAGCAAAGAAACCTCATAGCTGGGCTCTAGCTAAGTTCCCGACTGAAGCATCCTAGGTAAGAAATAACAAACCATTATTGCTTTTTCAGCTGCTAAGTCTGGAGTTGCTTGTGTAGCTACAGATTGCTGAAATGAGTGTTAGCCAGCAGCACTAATTTAAAGTTTAGAGTTTTAGCTCCATTATATATTTCCCCAGGAAAATAAAGGAGAAAACCCAGAATCTGTAAGTATGGAATAAGGAAAACCCATGAAGGAGAGATATTTCTACACTTGTAGATAGAGACAGAGTAAGATAAAATATAAATGACCAATTATGATGGGTAAATTCCCTGCTATAGAAATGCAAAGACACAGAAGTTAAGAGTTTCTGCAAGCATGTTGTAACCAGTTGAGCTTAAAAGAAGAAAAAAAATAAGGTGTACACACAGAGAGATGGGCCGTGGCCAGGAAAAGTTTCATTGACACTAATGTAGTATAGTGATGAGCAAGACATTGAAAAGATCTGGTTTAAAAAATACTAAACATGGGAGTCAAAAGATTTGGGTTTAAGTCTTGGTTTTCTCCCTTGTCAAGTAGCCATGATATCTCTCTGGCCTTTTTTTCCCCTATAGCTCTAAAATATTCTGCTCTATGTAGAGTAAGATCCACCGTTAGCTAAGCTGGTTGACTTTGACCAGTCACATACTATTTGAATCACAATTTATTCTCAACAAATGATTGGTTACAATTAATGACCCATGAAGCAGACCCTGAGGTGGCCCTTGTAATAAAAATATGATCAAGACTGGTGTTCAGAGAAAAACACCTTTTTATTGAGCTAGAAAAAGAGTACAAGCTAACATCTAGAGGCAAGAATTCCTTTATGATCATTAAATATTTAAGTATATAAGGCATTGTACTACAAGGTGAGTGACAGACAAAGCCCAGCCTTCAGGAAGTCTGTAACTGAGGAGTTATAAGGGAATCTAAATATCTATTTCCTTTTTTTTTTTTTTTTTTTTTTTGAGACGAAGTCTCGTTCTGTTGCCCAGGCTGGAGTGCAGTGGCAAAATCTCAGCTCACTGCAACCTCTGCCTCCTGGGTTCACGCCATTCTCCTGCCTCAGCCTCCCAAGCAGCTCAGACTACAGGCGCCCGCCACCACACCTGGCTAATTTTTTGTTTGTAGTGGAGACGGGGTTTCACCGTGTTAGCCAGGATGGTCTCGATCTCCTGAACCGCCCTCCTCAGCCTCCCAAATGGGATTACAGGCGTGAGCCACCGTGCCCAGCCCTAGGAATCTAAATATCTATAATAAAAAGCAGAACATCAGCTAACTTGGGAAAAGCGAGGGGTGGCAGGAAGGAAAAAAAGAAAGCAAAACATAAGTGCAAGTCATAATAAAGGTAGAAAATATATGGAAATTTAGAGAGAGATGAATCAAACAGCATTAAGAGCTCTTGGAGGACAGATTGGATTTTGGCATGTAGAAGTTTACAGAAGATACATTATTAAGAAGGGTGATTTCTGGGCTGAAGAAATGACAGCAGCAAAGTTGTCACTATGATGAAACAGAAAAAAATATTTAGAGAAAGAGAGTATTAGACAACAGCTTGGAAAGCAGAACAGAACACAACATTCTGGAAAGCCTCAAGTTGCCAGATATTGGACTTTGTTGTTAGGCAGTGAGGAAACTGCAAATACCTAGGTATGACAAAGTTTAAAAAAAATGGGTTAAAAAGGTTAAAGAAACAAACACGGCTTGGTGAGATACTGGTCAATGGCTGAGGAAAAATTCAAAGCAGATAAGCTCTGAGCTTGGAAGATTAGGCAAATCATTAAGTGAATGTGTAACACCAGGAAGGAGTTCACAGGAGAGAAGGTGAGGGCACAGAAGAAAAAAGCAGCCTCATTTTTCCATTTGCTAACCATTTTCATAGTCATACTTATTATGTAATTCATAATTAAAATGGGTTTTAAATCTGAAGTTTACCATGAAGGGGTAATCCCTCATTTATCTGTGGATACTGCTAATAGTAAGTCTATGGATAGACCCCTCTGGTGTGTGATGTGGATTGCTTTTCTTAGCTTCTAAACTTTCCCAGCACTTCATCATTCACCAAAACCCAACAAGTGTCCAAGTTTCAATTGCCAAGGCCTCTGCTGGATCCAAAATCATTCTCAAGAGGACGTATAATCACCACTGACTACAAAGAAAAAAATACCTATGCTGGTGCTCCAAAAGTTAGCCATTACTAAGAAAAGCAGACGTTTTAGAATTAGTACCATGTGAAACACGATTCACTTCAGCTGGCTGGTGAAATGTCAAAAAGGCTTGACAGAAGAACAGAAAAGATGTCAACTGGCAGGAGAAATGTATGGCTCTCCAAGGACTCTGGGGCAGTACACGGAAGGCGAGAAAAATGCACTGCACTCAGAGAACTTACCTGGGCAAACTTGTGAATCTGTTCCACCACTGCAGCAAAAAGAGCATGGACACTCTCATCGATCAGACTCTGCATGTAATGCACAGCCTCTTCATCCGACAGGTCTAAACGGAATTTATCCTGAACCTATAAGATAACACTTTTAGTCTTTACAATGAAGAAAAATAGGGCACATTTTGAACAGACAGAATCAAACTGATACAGACATTATAAAGTAACATGAGCTATTCCTATGGCAAATAAATGACCTGTAACTTATCAGAATGCTGAATGCAATTCTTTGGAGTGTACAAGTTTGCTGTTTTTGTTATATGCTCTGCATATCACCTCGTTCTTGTTGGCTGTAAACAGCTTTTAAGAAAAGAAAAAAGAAAAGAAGAAATTTTTCTTAGGGTCCTACATTTTAAAAACAGATAAACTGTTCTTTTAATTAAAGGTGTGCCTTATTATTTTTTTTTAATCTAAAATCTAGAGTGACTATATATGATTTAACTTGTGGCATATTTATTAATAATCCACTTTATCCCTGTTATTCCTTGCGAAATGGATGAAGCAAGGTAAGATTATATTAATATTCTCCCATACCTTCAGTGTCTACATAAGAACAGGAACAATGTCAATCACTGACAAAATAAACTAAATGTGATTTTCTAAGGTTTCCTTTCCTATTGAATTTCCCTATATCCCAGCACAAAACTGTGTCAATAGGTCTATAATTTCCAAAGATAAAAGAAATTTTTTACTCCTATTTAAAGCTACAGTTGATTTTCAGTAGCATTAAGTATTAGAAAAATTAGTATCTATATTTACGTGTGTATATTTTATATATACATAAAAGTCAATGCTACTGAAGAACTACTTTGTGCAAAACGCCATGCCAAGTATCATACATGCAACATTTTATCTGACTGATGACAAACATACAGTAGATAGTATCTCACCAATAAGATGCAGAAATTGAGGCACAGAGAATTCATGAAGCTGGCTCAGGGACCCTTAACTGGTACATGCTTCCAGACAATCCCACGCCACCACACAACCATTACACACTACTCCTTTCTCTTGTAAATAACCCACATATACTTCTCAAAGACAGGCTAGGAGAAAGTGAGGTTTCCAAGTGGACAAAGTGTGGCCCACATTTAGGGTTTCAAGTATAAGGTTTCACTACTAGAAAGCTACAAAGAAGAAAGGACAGTGTAACAACCCATAGCCCCAGCTCAGTGCCCTTGTCTCTTCATGGTACTGGAGGTATACCAGGTGATCTGAGAGTGCTTGAGCCTCAAGATAGGGGGAGGTAAAAGAGAGGTAAATGTAAAAAGTGAAGACAAGAACAATTTGGTAGAGGAACATCTAAGGCTGTATCTTCAATGAACTAGCTCTCTCATTTCCTGGATCCCAGATAATAACAAACATAGTCCTTGAGTTTGATCTTTTGATTTCCTTAACTTCTACTTACAGAGAGAATATCTGACAATTTTGGAACTATTTTTAAGGACATAAAAAATCTACAGAGTAGGAGAATCAAAATAAATTTTAGCCCAATTTATCAAAGCTTACATACTTACATAAGTGCCTGCATTACAAAGAGAAGGTATACACCTGGCATAAAAATATAATGTTATTTACCAAATATGAAAATATTCTCTTTTATACCAAAAGGTTAACTGTATATAAATAGTTATTTGGTATCAGATTTACTGACTTATGTTAGGTTGTCCTCTAGGTTCTTAAGATTCTTAACACATATACTAATTAATTGTAATATTTAAGGCTATTGTAAATCAACCACAACTTTATAAACTAAAAAAAAATTCCCCATCTTTGGAAACTACAGACCTATTCAGGTAGTCCTTTGCAAGGATACAGGGAAATTCTATAGGAATGGAGATATATGAGAAGATCTAGTTTAGTTTATTTTGCCAGTGATTGACATCATTCCTGTTCCTCCACATTTCTGTTCCACACATCATTACTTTAAAGGTGTGGAAGTAAATTAAATAATTTCTATCGATTTATCTTCAAGTTCACTGACTTCTAATGCCATAATCCAATTTGCTATTAAGCCTACCCAATTAATATTTCATTTTAGCGAGTGTACTTTCAGTTCCATAATTTTCATTTTGTTCTTTCTTCCTAGTTTTAATGTCTCTATTGATAGTCCTATCTGTTCCGTAATTATGCATTTATTTTCCCTTAGGTGCATGGATATTTATAACAGCTGTTTTAAAGTCCTTTTCTGTGGTCATGGGTCATCTCAGGGTGTTTCTACGGATTGTTTTATTTTTTCATTGGCTTAGTGTCACATTTTCTGTTAATTCACACATCTAGTTACATTTAAAAAAAAAAAAAGAGATAATAGACATTCCAAATGACACATTAGAGAGACTATGAATTCCATTGTGTTCTTGTGAAGATTCATTGTAGCTGGGAATTAACTTGAGTAAATTCAGTTTTTAAATAAATCCTCCCTATGATGGACAATAGCTGAAAACTCTGCTCAGTTCTTTAAGCTTTGGGCTGCTGCTTCCCCCTCCCTGTGACTGCAGAGCTGGAGTAGCAAGTTGTCTCTCCAGATATGGGAACCTACTCATGTAACTGTGGGCATGAACAAATAAGAGGATAAAACTGGCTGCAGAGACTTGAGAATTTGTTGTATTCTAGAATATGGAAAAATTATACAGAAGAGCTCTTCATTTATGTTATTTAAAAATTACCTTTTTCACAGTTTTATCTGGTTCAAGTGCAATATCTGGAATGTTTGCATCAACCATCAAGGAAAACAAGTTCAAAATCAGATTAGAATACCTAAAGAAGAGCAGAAAAGGAAAAAAAATAGCAACAATTAAGAATTCTGCATTTCTTTCTCATATTAAGAAATTTCTAGAAGTAGTGGTACTTGGATTTTTACAGTGATTACTATTATTCCAGCAGGAAATTCATCAGTTGGTATCAATGAAATGCAAGCCTTGACAAATATTTTATTTTGGGGTCTTCATATAACACCATTTCTAAATCCTATATCATGGGGCAGACCTTTGGAGTAATCATCCAATAATGACATTCTTTTCATTTTTTAGTAAGTATATATATTTTTAGAAGGGATCTGAGGAAGATCTACTTTATGTCTAATTCGCATTTTGTAACAATTAAGATCTATCTGCTTTTGCTAGATGAAGGTAACAATCTGCTACTTTAAGATGACCTCGGTGTGTCATGGCTAAATGAATGAAAGGGAAATAATATCATCCCATGAATCACTTATATCTTCCAGATATACCAATCATCATTTCAGGAACTACAGTGGCTGACCTGGATAAAAATAATTCTAGAAGAAAAAATTGCTAGTACTCTGCTGCATTAAAAATGGGCAAGATATCTAAATAAATATCATCAGAGCATGCTGGCCTCCAACAGCAACTAACAGTTTCTCTTCACCAATCCTCAAACTCTTCCTCTTCCTCCAAAGAGAACAATGTTACTATTCTGAATGGTCATTTCCAGAGGCGGGGCCTTGTGGGGGAAGGTTTAAATAAATCTCCACTGGGACCTCTCCACTTTGGCTCTTGGTGGCCCCTCCTTAGCACTGATAAAAAGAGATTCAGGTTTGATCTTCAGGATGGATGTAAGGAAAGCGTTGGTTTTCAGCAATGAAGGTTTTTAGCTGTTTCAGTAAAAATGTCAACCAAGTGCCTTGCATTGTTTTCTCTAGGGGATGGGGGCAGAATTTGGATGATGTAGGATCTTTATCCCAGCTACGTGCCTATCAATAATGATGATAATAATAATAAAATACAAACTGTTAAACTGTTTAATACTTACACTGTAATGATAATGGAACTTATATAGAAAAATGACTATCCATATGAGTTTCAAATTATCTATTTTATCTTCATTTCTGAATTTTATATTCCTCATAAAAATCAAGAGGAACTATAATGAAAAACTTCTACCTTGATGTAGTCTAATCAAATCAGGCCCTAACCCACTTAAACTCTTAGGAAAAAAAAGTTATGATAATAGCTAAACAGCTTTAACCTAGCTTTAAGTTACTAATTTATTTGTGGGAATTGATAAATGCATACCACAGATGTTATTCCATTCCTACTCATATAATCATTTTATTCATTCAACCAACAAATATTTACTTAGTACTCACTATATCCACTATTGTGGGCACTAGGGATACAGACAGTGGTGAACTGAACAAACAAGGTCCCCACACTCATGAAGTTTACATTCTGGAGGAGGGTGGAAACATAATAAACTGATAAACATGATAATGTTATGTCTGCTTGATTAAAAGATTTAAAAGAGAAAAAACAACAACAGGAAAATGGGTCCGAGAGAAAGAGGCATCTTAAGGCAGTATGATTTTATTTGAAATGCACTGAGAAGCAACTAAGTTTAAGGAGTGGAGTGACACATGTTGATACGCATTTTTAACAGTTCACACTGGCCATCTTGAAGGGAATAATAATCGAAGTAGAGAAACTATATCACGGACTTCCAGGTGGACAAGAAACTACATGGGGGCTATCAGGCTATATTTTGGAGATGAAATAGATGATCCTTGCTGATGGTTTCAATGGAGGTCAGGGTGAGAGGATAGAGAAACTGAAAGACACAAAGGATTTAGCCTAATGGGACACTAGTGTTATTCACCAAGACAGGAAAGGCTAAATGGAAGAGGAACAGGATTTTAGACAGGGACTCAAGAATTTCATTTCAGACATGTAGAGTTTGAGGTGCCTACTAGATTTTTAGTAAAGATGTCAGATATATCTCAGAGGAGATATGAAGGCTAGTGATATTAAAGTCATCAGTCATGGGATCATATGTAAAGTCACAGGACTGGATGAAAATGGTAAGGGGGGGGGCAAAAATAAAGGTCCAGAATGAAACCCTGTATAATGATAATGAAGCTTCTACATAAGAGGTGTCCCATCTTTTGGCTTCCCTGGGTCACAATGGGAGAAGAATTGTCTTGGGCTATAGATGAAATACACTAACACTAATGATAGCTGATGAGCTTAAAAAAAATCTCATAACGTTTTAAGAAAGTTTATGAATTTGTGTTGGGCTGTATTCGAAGCTTTCCTGGGCCGCATGTGGCCTGGGGGCCACGGGTTAGATAAGCCCTTCTCTATGGAAATACAGATGATCCACTTGAGAGGGCTGCAAGGAATGCGATGCCAGCAGCATGCAAATCAGCTGTTACATATTATTTAAAAAAAAAAAAAAAAAGGTGCTCTTTCAACTAACTCTCCATCATTCGTACTCCGCTTTGTTGATTATATACGTACATAATTTTTTCCCATCTTGGCATGGGGAAATCTACCAGAAGGTAATATAAGGAGAAGAATACAAAGTCAATTTTGAAAGAGATATATTAGAAGTTCTCCAACTTGGCTGCCCATTAGATTCAGTTGGGTAGCTTTTCAAATGTATCAATGCCTGAGCCCAATCTCAGACCAATTAAATATGAGGGAGCCCAGATCTTTCCCCTTGCCACCTCATCTACAAGCTCCCCAGGTGATTCCAATGGGCAGCCAGGATCAATGTTAAAAATCTGCTTTTATGGATGCCGAATGTGATGTTCCTTTTAAAAAAGGTAAATACTAATGCTTTCTGGATTATCTCTTGATTTAAATTTAACCATCCATGCTTCTATTATTATAGCAAAGGGAAACAGAAATAAACATAAAGGTTAGACTTCCACATACTTTGTGAATAATTTGTCACTACCTTTGATATTAATCTTTTACATCTGTTGTCATTAACCTGAATCTTCCATTTAAGACATAAGTGAACCAAAATAGCAAGTGTTTACTTAACAGGGCAGTCATTTAATGTCCTATCCAGAAACACAAATTTAAAGGCCACTTGACTTTTTTTGAGATGGAGTCTTATTCTATCACCCAGACTAGAGTATGGTGGCACGATCTTGGGTCACTGCAACCTCAGCCTCCCAGGTTCAAGCGAGTCTCTTGCCTCAGCCTCCCAAGTAACTGGGACTACAGGCACATTCCACTATGCCAGGCTAAGTTTTGTATTTTTAGTAGAGACAGGGTTTCACCATGTTGGCCAGGCTGGTCTCGAACTCCTGACCTCAAGTGATCTGCCTGCCTCAGCCTCACAAAGTGCTGGGATTACAGGCATGAGCCACCCTGCCTGGCCAACAAACCAGTATTAGACAACCTAAGATTAAAAAATAATAATAATAGGGCGGGAAAGTGTGCAAAATCTATTCTAGCAAAGATTGCAAGATGGAATGTGATATAATTAGGATTTTTAGAAAGAAGCAAGTTGCATGTAACGTTCAAGGAAACTGAACTCTTTCTCTTACCCACGTTCATGTCAACTATCATGCTACACTCTAGTCATACAAAGATAATTTAAATTTTTCAGGAAAAACCTTCATTACTGAAAACAGAAATCCATTAACTACACTGAGGTTCTTATAGTATTACAAAGGTCAATTTCCTCTACATTCTATTTTCCATGACACAAAAATCAGAGTTCCTGTGAAAATGTCATTTAATAAGTGTACTACTTCAAAGAGGGGAAGCAATGTCGTTAATGATGTTTGTGACCAATAAAGTCACTGATGTTTCGTGACTAGGCAAACATCTCTTAGACAATATGAGAACCTTACTTGATATAGTTAAATGCATTTTTTTTTTTTTTTTTCCCCGAGACAGAGTCTTGTTCTATTGTCCAGGCTGGAGTTCAGTGGTGTGATTTTGGCTCACTGCAACCTCTGTCTCTCGGGTTTAAGCGACTCTCATACCTCAGCCTCCCTACTAGCTGGGATTACAGGCGTGCACCACTACGCCCGGTGAATTTCTGTATTTTCTTTTTTAGTAGAGACAAGGTTTCACCATGTTGGCCAGGCTGGTCTCGAACTCCTGGCCTCAAGTGATCCACCCACCTCAGCCTACCTAAGTGCTTGGATTACAGGAGTGAGTCACCATGCCCAGCAGGTTAAATGCATTCCTTATTTCACTGTTGAAAATCTTTACCAAAAAATGTAGAAAGAACATCTTTGTAACATCAGTGTCTAAAAATGGTGTTTGGCATAAGTGTGGGTTGGGAGAAAGACAATATGTACTGATTAATAAGAGATGATAATGTATTTTGCAACCATTTATAACTAAGTTCAAAATGGCCTACTCTGCTTATGTGGTACGATCTCATTCAGTAGTTTCTTTGTGAAGAAACTGATCCATTATCAAGAAAAACTATAAAATAACAGGGCTGGTCATACCTATAAAGCCTAATAAAAGTACTGATAACCTTAGCTCCAAAGAATTATCAGGTTAATTCTTACATCCTTGAAGGCATTTTTTAAAACCAACTAAAACATACTCTAAAATACAACATTAAAAAATAAATGTTGGCCAGGTGCGGTGGGTTTATTCCTATAATCCCAGCACTTTGAGAGGCCAAGGTGGGCAGATAGCTTGAATCTAGGAGTTCAAGACCAGCCTGGGCAACATAGCAAGACCCCACCCCGTTTATACAAAAAAACACAAAAAATTAGCTGGACATGGTGGCATACACCTGTAGTTCCAGCTACCTGCAAGGCTGAGGTGGAAGGGTCATCTGAGCCCAGGAAGTCAAGACTGCAGTGAACCATGGTCATGCCACTGCACTCCAACCTGGGTGAGAGAGTGACAACCTGTCTCAAAATAATAAACAAAAAGAAAATTGATCAAACAATTTGGGTCCAGATAATATAAAGTGAAGTACAGGGAAATTTTTAAAAGTTACACAGTTTTCATTAAAACTTTGCATAAAATTATGTAATCTCTCTGTGGCTTTTCTTTGTAGCGAGGAAGTCAACCTTGGCTCTCCATTAATAACTTGCCTGTTTTCTCATTCTATTGAATTGCTACTAATCCTCTACCAATGACAGTTTATAAAGCACATTGTTTTCCTTCTGCTTTCAATAAGATAGAGCACCTTTGACATTTCTCTAGTTATCATTCCTTACCATCTTGTCTGCCACCTCCCTGAGATATCCATGGTTTGACTTAGTTTTCTACGGGCTTTGACTATTTTAAATTAAAAATCCCAGATATTAAATGGCACTCTCATCTCTCTGAAAGTGCTTCTGCATCACCAAACAAATCTAAAGAGCACTGATTTTCTCATTATTCTTTTAGCATTTCTGGAGGGTAAAACTGAGCCATTCCGCCACCCAAAGGATAAATAATACGGCCATTTGTAAAACGCCTGTTACAGGGTTTGTGATACGTGGAAAAGACTGAGTTTACAACGAAGACCTAGTCATTGCATAAATGAAACCCGATTACTGTAAGAAAACCAGTCTTTTAGGACCAGCACATCAACATCAACCGGGAACATGGCCTCACACTAGACCAGAAGCAGGAATTCTGAGGGTTCTCATACAAATACGAAGAGTTCTCAATGAATAAACATACAATGAGTGCCTACGTACTAAACACTGTATGAGTAATCGAGGTTACAAAGGTTATGAAGACAAAGGAGACAGAAACCACATGCACTGGCAACTTGCTATCTATTGGTTATATTTTCACCTGGAAGAGCATGTATATATGTTTCCTGGACTGAGATTTTCTGCTGGACTAAGAAAAAGTCATTTTGCATAGCTGGGCTGAAAACAACATTAGAGTCAAATGATCCTGTCATTTTTGACCAATAATCATCAGAGCCATATCCTGAATTTATCAAACATGACTTTTATTTTCCTTCCTGATGATATATGATAGTCAGTCCTAAGTAAATTAGGAAGAAGGAAGCACAGATACAGTGGTGTTGAAGAAAAAAGGATGGAGAAAAAACATTTTTTTTTGTAGCAGAATGACTGATGATGTGTTAAAAAGAGATAAAAATCATATTTAACATTTACTTCAATCATTGAGCAAACTTTTCAATATTCCTGAAAAGTACCCAAAACTAAGGAAGCTAAAGAATAAAAATGATTGAACTAATATCACTCTAAAGAAGTTATATCCTACATTCTTTGATAAAGAAATAGGAAGTCAGCTAGAGAGAAGGAAGAGAACCCAGTAGGTGACTGTACTACTGTGGGACTGTCTTCAGGCAGATCTGAATGGTATGAAGTTTCTTAACCTTTTCTCTATCTCAGTACTATCAAAGTACACTTTATTAAATAAAGTGACATCAACCCACTGAGTTGGAAGCCTCCATGTTTGCTTCATCTTATGTGACGCCAGCTTCCTGCCTGGTGGGATACAGTAATGAGATAGTGGGAAAGCGAAAAAGTTTATGTCTTTTTCCTTTGATATTTGACAGTCTGTCAAAATTGGTATTAAATATAAGACAGGAAATACTGTTGCCTTTGTCATTTTGATAAAGTGATCAATGCTAAAGAATGCATACATTTAAACAACTCCTTCTCTTGTTCTATAAAATAAAATAAATTTACCCAAATTCTCTGTGCCAAGCAAATCAACTTACCTTCGCAGGTGGAGGAAAGCCGTGTAACACTGTTTACGGAACTCTTGGTACTGTTCACTCTGTGTGCCCCCCATTCCTTCTACCATTTCTTTATTCAGCTTCATTGGTGGAGGAAGAGGCTTCGGATCCCGACCCAAAATATATCCAAAGTCTATGTGGAAGAGTTTGCCTGGATGTTCACAAGAAACTCATTTGTTACCAGAATTATCTTAAAGAAATTGGTAGGGGATATGTCACACAATTGTCTCTTCATAAAGAATATTAGTTCAAGATGTCTCTTCATAAAGAATATTAGTTCAAGATGAAGCCTATTAAATTCTTCGATATTTCTAACTGCAAGTTTGAGAGTGGCCTTGGAAACATAATTAACTCATTTTAACTCATTCATTCAGACAAAATGATGCCTAAAATCGTGTCAAAGTAATGGTAACCTATGTTAAATCCTATTTATAAGTCTTCAGAATCAAAGACGGTTAGAGCCTGGGTAACATTTTAAGGTATCAGCAGAAATTGGAATCTTGTAGCAAATTTTTTGTGCTAAAGTTTAAGCACAGTGTCCTTCATATAACGGAAAATCATTTCTTTATTCCTGAGATGAATCCTTCTGCTAATTTATCATTACTCAAAAAAAAAATTTTAGAAAGGAAAAATTTAAAACATCATATTCTTAGCATAAATAGCAATTCAGTTGTAATAATATATCACCTATCATTTTAATGTTGTTAAATTTTACTAATCTGTAACAGATTTATAAATCTGTTTTCATTGTACAGTATATAAGAGTAAGCACAATTACGAGGTTTCATGTTGTACATATTTAAGATCATAAAATGTCAACACGGGGGGGTTTCATTTCCATTAAAAGAAATCACTGAATGATTTATGACTGAAAAACCACTCTTTCGGAATCCCAAAATGGGCTTCGATGGTCTCTAGGTAAAATGAAACTGATTTTGCGGGGAGATCAATACACTTCACCAGATTCCCAAGTAAAGTCCATAATTCAACAAATATGAAGAACCAGTTTCACAAAAGTGAATTTGATAACTTCAGTACCCACTGGAAAAGCAACATCCCTATAGTCTCTTAAGGTTCAAGGGGAGTATCTTATGATTTCAGTTTTCCACATCTGATGAAAAGTCCAGGATCAATTTCTGTTAACCATTTTACCACCTTCAACTAAGTATGTGTCCTCTGCTCAACTAAGCTAAGCAATTCTTTTGGTACTTTATTCTCATTTTGAAGTTTTCATTTATCTTTTACCTTGTTGGATACACACTATTCTGCCCCATAAGAGGTAAAGAAATAAGAAGCTCACAATATTACAGATGTAGATAAATGTTCCTTAGTTTTATTTAATTATTTAAATAATACTTTGTTACCAGTACACTTGAACAGATGACCAATCTGGTCAATGTTTGATACAAAACTGCCATCACACATGGTTTATTTAAAGGGCTCCATGCTTTTAATAGGAAACCTATCCCAGTTTTCTTCATTTCATTACAGGAAGTACCGGAATTCCAATATTGGCTATGTATCACTGTTTACAAATGAAGAGTGTATTTCTATCCTTCTTGCCAGAACACTCTCAAAGAACAGGATTACTACTTAATTAAAAGGCGTAGAAGATTCAGTATCTAACAATGAAACCATTATTATGCTTTGCAAGTTAAATAGCCATGTATTTTCAAAAAAAGCCTATTAATGTAATGTTTTAAGAAAACTCATCTTCATAGATACTGAAGGGAATGGTTTTTTTTTAAAGTTAATATTTGAAAACGAAATTTGTAAAGGTTCAAAAAATACACATAATGAAATTTAAAAAAAGTTTAAGAAGTTCAGAGAGTATGATCTTTTTCAAATCTACCACTTTAAACAGTCAAGAAATAAAGTATACATAAAATAAACTGGTTAACCTCCTTTTGTCTCCAACTTGCACAACACAGGGAGTAAGAGGTGCTAATTAAATTTTCCTGTTATTTGCATAAATAACATGAACTTATTTCTAAAATCGTAGTTCAAGGCATTTGTAATTCTTGGATTAAAGAGAATCTAAACTATTCTCTTTGACAGTATTTAATGGTAAAGTTTATTTTAAATTTCTATTTTGTTTAATAATTAAACGTGTCCAATGTCAAAACTGTATTCATTCTGTTTTTCATACCTCTTCTTACTCTTCCCCCTTATACTTGACTTTCTTCTGCTGTTCCTTATAATCCAAACTCTATTTTTTAAAGATTCCACATAATTCCCAACTTCAAAAAATCTTCCCTGACATGCTACTCCAGTGAATTTCCTACTCTTCAATTTTTTTTATATAACCTGACATTTATTTACCATTTTTTTCCATAAAATGCCTTTTGTCTTATGTGAATGTTGTATCTTTCCTACTGCCCTACTGCTACACCTAGAAATAAAGAAGGTAACAAACAGCAATTTATTCTTATAGCAAAACCTGTATTTTCAGAATTAAAAAGGTTCCCGATATCTATACTCCCACTCACTGTTCCCAATACTTATTACTTAAACTCTTACAATATACTAGCAGTTTTCACTCAGTTAAAAGCACAATGATGCAATATTTTTCAATAATAGTTTTTAGTATCAAAGATCAATAATCTATAAAGGCAAAGAGGAGTTAGCATGTGCTGAGATCACATAGTAGCATGAGAGGGGAGGTGCCAAGCTCTTTTTTAACAACCAGCTCTCAATGGAACTAACAGAAGAGCTCACTCATTACCTCCAGCACAGTGCCAGGCCATTCATGAAGAATCCACCCCCATGACCCAAACACTTCCCATTTGATCCCATTTCCAACACTGGGGATGAAGTTTGAACATGAGATTTGGAGGAGTCAAATACCCAAATTACAGAAAGTGGGAAAAAGAAATTTTTGAAATATATTAACTATTTTCTTCTCTCTAATAGCATGAGTCCAAATAACAACCACATAAGTTAAAAAAAAAAAAAAAAAAAGGCATTATTCATCTCACGGTGGTAAAAGAAACAAGCAAACAAAACCTAACAGCCCTTAAGGAATGTGTAGTATGTGCTCAATACCAAGCAAAAGTCTACTTATCTCTTTCAAAACTCACAGCACCACTAGGAGAGCGGTTCTGTTATTATTTACAGATTCAGAAGAAGAGACTGAGTTACTGGTATATTATGTAACTTACCCAAAATCACCCAATGTGTGAGGGGCAAAATAAATGCAAAATTTGCCTTTAGAGCCGAACAAATTACCCACTATCAAAGACTGTTTCTTGGTCTAAAAAATAATCAATTTCACATAAAATTAAATACAGAAAATCAGGACAGAAGTTGTGATGTTAATACTGACTGTCAACTTGACTGGATTGAAGGACACAAAGTATTGATCCTGGGTGTGTCTGTGAGGGTGTTGCCAAGGGAGATTAATATTTGAGTCAGTGGGCTGGGGAAGGTAGACCTTTACTCTAGATGGGCACAAACTAATCAGCTGCCAGCACAGCTAGGATATAAGCAGACAGAAAAATGTGAAAAGAGAGACTGGCCTAGCCTCCCAGCCTACATCTTTCTCTCACGCTGGATGCTTCCTGCCCTCGAACATCAGGCTCCAAGTTCTTCAGTTTTGGGACTCAGACTGGCTCTCCTTGCTTCTCAGCCTGCAGATGGCCTATAGTGGGACCTTGTGAATGTGTGAGTTAATACTTAAGAAATTCCCCTTTATACACACACACACACACACACACACACACACACACACACACATTCCATTAGTTCTGTCCCTCTAGAGAACGCTGTATTACAGCAGCTATACTGAAAGAAAATGTCCAATTAAGATAACAATAAGAATAACCATTTTTCTTTACTTTGAGCTCTCTGACAAAAGGTTCAAAGTGTATTATTTTAAAGTGGCAAGGCAGACAAAAAAGCTACTACCTCTCTCACAAATGGCAACTCAAGATCAGGAGAGCCATCCTTAAGACTCACAATGATCTTTCCATTTAGTACAGATAGCAGTTCCCTGTTTACGTTTGTGAAGGTTTTTCAGTCATTTACAAATGAATTTCAAATACTGATTGTATTAAAAAGTATACCATAAGCAATGAACATATTTTTCAGTTATACTGCCTCTCCCTCTTTCCTCAAACTCTCAAAAACAAAAACAAAACAATTAACCTTTCTCCAAAGAGCTGGGATAAACTTAAACTACGTTTCATTTGAATCCTGCCACAACTGATTGCCCTAAGTAAGGTTTTTAAAGCTTCTCCTAAGGACAATAACTCGGGGGGAGGGGGGGGAAATCTATTATTTTTCAACCCCACATCACAGTCTAGCTTTGTAATTTCTTGTCCAAAGAATTCTATAGAAATAAGAATTCGATAGTAATGCACTAATAAAATATCACTCACCCCATATTTGTTTCAAGAAAACAGCGTTATTATTAATCACATGACAATACACTGACACTACACTTTTACATTTATGGTGGATACACAGCGCCCTCTGCTGCACAAGCTGAGTAAACATCAACCAAGTTCAAAGTATTCAAAAACAAAGCATGGGCCAAAAAAAAGTCTGGGAAATCCATAATTGCGATGAATATTTTGCATTTCAGAACATTACTCTTGTATAGATTTTGACATTCTCTATATGCAGTGAATCATTTTCTTTCACACGCCCAGAGTTCTTAGCTGGATCATTTTCTATTTAATCTATATTTACAGGGTGGAATAGTTTGTCTGGGGTAAGTCCCCCAAAAATATCAGTGAAATGAAATCTGCATGTCTCCTTCTTCTGCTCCATCCCCCATATCAAAAAACTAGACACAGATGATACAGTGGAAGTCTGATTACAATTCAAAACCACTTTAATCTAAAGCGGAATCTTAGACTCTAAACCTGCTCGTGCTGGCAAATGAGAACAGAAAACAAAGGTATTATGTTTTGCAGAAAAAGAGAAATGTGACTTGATTATCAAAAAATGCTCCATCAGCCATTGAAAGATTGGACAGTTACATAAGAGAACCCAAAGTTTTCAATTTGAAGGCGTAATAAACTCAAAATACATAATGGACAAATCTTCATGATAGTTGAGGCATTTTTAAACTAACAACATTGGAATATATTTCCTGCAATGAGGCACATTCAAAATTAACTTTGAACTATACAAAGTCTATTTACAACATGTATGAAATGTAACTTAAAACCGCTTTGAAATACAGACTCTCAGTAAAAATGACTAGAGACACAAAATTTTTAAAAAATATTTTAAATTGTGAGAAGTTGAGGAAAGCATTATACTTCTATTTGTCTTGACATACTCAGTCTCTCCTTATAGAATCTAATTTCATCCAAACCAAAACTAAAAATTTGAAAACATGTATCTTAGTAACAAAGATTTAAAATGCTAACTGCATAACGTAACTGGATGAAAGAATTACAGAGCAGTTAAGAAAAAATGAACTGCTGTTTTAACAGGAAAAAAAAGGTGCATCTTATTTATGCACATTTTAGGCTAAAGTTTTGATTTCTAAAAAGCAAATTTGGAGCACCCTCTAGTGGAAAACTGTTAACAAAAGCTTAAAGCTTCTGTTTCTAAGATTTAATTCAATTTCCATTAAACAAGTAACTGAGACCTGGGCCAAAAAAGTATATTATGTAGACTCTTCCTTCTGGTTTTACTCTTAAATACCCCCATTAAAACACGCACACGCACACACACAAATACACATACATGAGGGCACTTTTCAAAGTCCAAGAGAAAAAGTTTTACACTGTTTATCAATTTCCAAAAAAGAAAACAAGTAGAATTTTTGAATATAATATTACAGATGTAATATTACTTTTTATATTAAAGAATTTCATTGTAGTTGTAAATGATTACAATCTAGAAACAAATGGAATCATTTTTGTTGCTTAATTCTTGTGGTTAAAAGATTCCACCAATAAAAAGAGCTAGTGAAAATAACACATGAAACTTTCAAATTACAGCTCTCTCCAAACACATCATAATGTTTATTTATAAATATCCTCTGCTAAATTAGCAAATCAGCCAAGAATCTCCATGAAAATCAGATTATATTCTTTTGGTCTTCGTTATTAAGGAGACTGACTGGCTTTGACACAGACACGACATCACACATGCAAGTTCTATCAGATGATTTTCCATATGTAATAATTAAAAACTGAATATATGACATTCCAAATTATGTAAATTAATAGGGTCATTATATTAATAATTAGACTATTCTTGATGTATTATGTTAAATTATTATCACAATTTGGAGAAATACAAACAAAACAGAAAATGTTTTGAGAGACTAATTTAAAGAGTAACGTAAACATCTGTTTTCTGCAGAAGGCTGAAGAAACTTGAATTATTTAGGCCAGAAAAGAAAAAGGATCATGGAAGAACACAAGTATTAATTCATCATTAATTCAACACTGACTTATTGAACACCTTAGCTAGGTGTTGTTCCAGGTCCGGAGGCATGGGGTAACCCCAACGGACAAAGGTTCCTGCTCTCATGGAACTTGCATCCTGAATGGGAGAAGACAATGATAAGAACTCAACAAGCTCTAGGAGAGCAAGGATTTCTGTCTGTTCTGTTAACTTTGGTATTCCCAGCATCTACTAGATGTTCAATAAATAGTTGTTGAATTAAACAAAAAAGGTAACTTCAGCTAGTGATAAGTGCTATAAACAAAACAGTAATAAGTAGAGAGCATTGGAAGAGGCAGATATGTTATTACAGATCAAAGAGTTAGAAAGGGCTTCTCTAAAGTTATGCCATTAGAATTTCAACTTAAGTCAGCCCTGCAAAGATCTGAATAAAGAACTTTCCAGAAAGAGAAAATAACAAAGGCTCTTGTCTGAGGCAGGAGTGGTTTGACATTCAGACAAAAGCCTGCCTGGACAAGCCACAAGGCCCCAGTAAAGAGTTCAGATTTCATTCAAATTGTTTAGGCAACATGTATTGGTTGCCTCAAGTGGGGTGAAAGTAGTAAAAATGAAGAGACAGTAGGTAACTTCATGATCTATTTTGGAGTTGAGGAGTAGACAAGATTTGTTAATAGGTTCAGTATATGAGATGAGGCCAAAAGACATATTAAGAATGACTTTGAGGTCTAGAGCTTGAACAACTGTGTAGGTGATGTTGCTATCTATTCAAACGGGAAAATGAGGTGAGAAGCAGGTTTTAGGTAGGTAGTAGAGGAAAGGATAAACTTTTACAACTGGCCATACATAATGACAATTTCAAGTAAGCAGTTCGATATTTCAATTTGAAGGTAATGAAATGGACTGAGGTAAAAAGCTGTAAGTTTGGAAGCTGTCTGCATAAAGATAAATACATAGGGCTACAGAATTGTCAGGACAAAGGGCGCTGAGAATGATTATCCCACAGAACCCCAAGGGGAAAAGCAAATAATTAAAGGTAGATATTAAAGTGAATTAAGCACACTTTGTAAGAGAAAGGACATTTTAACAATCTAACTAGAGCTATATAGTAAGACACTAAGCTGCTTGTATCCATTACGGGCTTTCCATAAAAAGAGGCATTTCCAGTATAGCAGTGTGTGCACAATGACCATCTGTAGGATTACTACTAAAGTAATTCTTACAAGGGAAAGGACTATCCCTAAATGTTCTTCCAAGGTAACATTTAAAGGAATTTTTAAGACTCACTGATTTCTCTTTACCTCTTATCTTTTTTTTTTTTTTTTTCCAGATGGAGTTTTGCTCTTGTTGCCCAGGCTGCAGTGCAATGGTACGACCTCAGCTCACTGTAACCTCCGCCTTCCAGGTTCAAGCAATTCTCCTGTCCTAGCCTCCAGAATAGCTGGGATTACAGGCATGTGCAGCACGCCCGGATAATTTTATATGTTTAGTAGAGATGGGGTTTCTCAACGTTGGTCAGGCTGGTCTCGAACTCCCAACCTCAGGTGATCTGCCCACCTTGGCCTCCCAAAGTGCTGGGATTACAGGCGTGAGCCACTGCACCTGGCCACAATTTACCTTGTTAGTAAATAGATTCAGGGGTAAAAAACATGGGCAAATACAATGTATGTCTACTGGTAGCCATTAATTGTTACCTGTTTTCGTTAGCAAAAGGTTATCCAGGTGCCTGTCTCCAACTCCAAGTATATACGTGATCACGCAATATCCAGCTGCAATAACAGTTAAAAAAATGTGAAAACAAATGCAAACCAGGTTATACATTCTACTGAATATAAAAGCAGTTTGTGCAACTTTATTATCAATTGTTTTCTAATGTCTCTGGTTTCTCACCTAAATTCTCAAATATGCAATCTTTATATCTGTCACTTGAAACTCAAAGTACTATTTAAAACAGAAAATCTTGCAGAATTCTGTGAAATTACAAAAGTCACTTGCATCAAAACTTAAGTTAGGTTAAGGAGACCTTAATTATAACATGGGCCTAGCAATTCTAATATCAAATTGGACACAGTTAAAGATGACATCAAAAAAGAAGTATCTACAGAAATACACATAATAAAGTCAACTGTCAATTATCTCATAACTCATAACCATGTTATCCATAAGATAACATAAGTAAATGCAGGGTTAAATTTTTTTTAAGTCTGTGGAAAAATAATCTTGACATGGAAGCAGATAGAAAACCAAATGCATTCATTTGAGTGGTAAAGACATTTATGAAGTTCACGCAATAATCTTCTAAAGCATTAAGAAAAATTATATGATCAAGACTAAAGGCAGAGGCATTGGCTCTAGCTGTATTCTGTTTTCTTTTTCTTCTAAAAAAAAGTCTGAAAACTTAGCATTTATTGAAACTACTTACACAGAATTTAGCAAATAGCACCTTTTTGGAGGTTTTTTTTTTTTTTTTTTTTTTACGATGTTTATTTCTACCATTAATAACCTGACAATAAATACAACTTGTACACATATAAAACTATAGCAATATTTACCAAAACCTGTTTATTTCAGCCCATGTGTAAAAACAAGATGGGACGACCTGTTAATGAACTTACAACCTTGCTCAAATTCAGTAAATAATACGGTTCATTTGACTCAGGTTCTGAAGGCCATTCCAGAAGTCCAAAAGCAACTTAAGCAATGTATCATCATTGGAAAAATGTATCATAGTATTAATAACAATCACAGTTACAATGTACTGAAGGCTAGGCTCTTAGCTAGGCATATCATATTTATCATTTCTAACCCTTTTAATGATGCCAGTTAAGTATGATAACCATTCTTCAAATGAAAAACTTCAGGCTCCAAGAATTAATGGTATTGTCCAAAGTCACTGGGCTGGAATTTGTGTCCAATGAAATGTAAGCAAATGTAGATGCACGGAGAGCAGTTTTAAGCAAAGGGCTGACTCAGCTAGGAGGTTAGCCCTTCAGGCCTTTCCTCCTTTCTGTCTAGATTGCAACATCATGACTGTAGTTGCAGCAGTTATTTGAGACCGTAAGGAAAAGGGCAAGAGAATCACAGAGCCTTCACCTTGCCCTAACCACCTTAAATAGTTGGAACAACAGCAATCTCTTACAACTAGTTTTGTCACAAAAGAGAAAATAAACTCTTATGATTAAGTCACTATAGGTACATTATGTTAACTGCAGCAGAATGCAATGATAACATTTAGTGGTCCACTGAGGAGGACTTAAAGGGTATCTAGATGAAGGGAGAAAAAACTACAGCTTGTTGACCAAATCTGGCTCCCTTCAGTTTTTGTAAAGTTTATTTGAACACAGTCTTACTCATTCATTTACATATTGGCTTGAGCATTACAATGGCAGGGTTGAACAGTCACACAGATCATCTGACTTGAAAAGCCTAAGTGCGCGGTGGCTCAAGCCTGTAATCCCAGCACTTTGGGAGGCCGAGACGGGCGGATCATGAGGTCAGCAGATCGAGACCATCCTGGCTAACCCAGTGAAACCCCGTCTCTACTAAAAAATACAAAAAACTAGCCGGGCGAGGTGTAGTCCCAGCTACTCGGGAGGCTGAGGCAGGAGAATGGCGTAAACCCGGGAGGCGGAGCTTGCAGTGAGCTGAGATCCGGCCACTGCACTCCAGCCTGGGCGACAGAGCGAGACTCCATCTCAAAAAAAAAAAAGAAAAAAGAAAAGCCTAAAATACTACCTGCAAAGCTTTAGGGAAAAGTCTTACTGACCCTTGATCTAGAGCATTGCTACACGAAATGTGATCCCACAGACTGGCAGTATCACTATCACCCGAAAGCTTATTAAATGTGTAAACTCTTCAACCTTACCTCAGTCCTACTGAATCAGAATTTCTAGTGGCAGCAGCCACAATTCCACTGTAACAAGCTTTCAAAAATTACTATGCACACCAAAGGTTGAGAAGTCTTCTCTAAACTCGAGTGTATTAATGAACATAAAAATCAACTGAAAATCCTGTTAGAATGCAGATTCTGATCACAGAATCAGGGCAAGGCCCAGGATTCTGTAATACAAACAAGTTGCCACGTAAACTCAATACTGTGGGTCCACATATCACACTTTAAGTAGCACTGCTCTAAAACTGCCACAATACATACAACTTCAAAACTGACTAAAGACTCCCCATTGAAAAATAACTAAGTGACTTACTGAGGGATATTAAATTAGATATCCCTAAAGAGAAACTCAGTAGAGTACCCTGAGAACACACGAGAATTTAGTACACTTAGGTTCTCTAATATGTGATTCTTAGAAATCTAGCTGCTACTCAAGGGTACTAAACTACTGATAACGTCCATATGAAGACAAGAGAAACTCCTGCAATTTTCAAAAATAACATCACTGTACATCAGTGCAGCTGAGTTGTTCAATCCAGACCTACTCACTATTCTCATTTTTTTTTAAATTATAAAGTACAATTGGTTTTGGTCACTAATTAAGTTGTTTAGCTATCTCTACAGAATACTGATTCACCCGTGTTGCAACAGTTAATTCTGACCTAAAATTTTCATGTAACTAGATATACATGAATTATGCTTAATTCTAATTATAAAGCAAAATATTTATATAAACGACTCATCATCAAATTTGTTTGAGAGTGATATTTCATTGTTACATGGAAATGGAAAATGAATAAGGGTCTTTTGCCCTGCCTCATTGGGTTATGGTCATAAATATGTTGGATGGTCATTCTGATAAATATGTTTAGTCAAGTGAAATATATGTATCGACATAGGGTCATATTTAATAGTAAAGATGAAAATTTAGAGTGCTTCAATAGTTTAAAGTGTCAATACTCAGCAGAGCACTTCAAACAAGGCTACATCCTGAAAAACAACAACAAAACATTTGAGGTAAGAATGGGACAATCCTCAGAAATGTTGAAGAGATAATTAATACTCAGAATGATTTGGGCTGGGCGCGGTGGCTCACGCCTGTAATCCCAGCACTTTGGGAGGCCGAGGAGGGCGGATCACAAAGTCAGATGGAGACCATCCTGGCTAACAGGGTAAAACCCCGTCTCTACTAAAAAAAAAATACAAAAAATTAGCCAGGCATGGTGGTGGGCACCTGTAGTCCCAGCTACTCGGGAGGCTGAGGCAGGAGAATGGCATGAACCCAGGAGGTGGAGTGAGCCGAGATCGCGCCACTGCACTTCAGCCTGGGCGAGAGAGCGAGACTCCATCTCAAAAAAAAAAAAAAAAGAAAATACTCAGAATGACTTAAGATGACCTGAAATAAATTTGCTAGAAAATTTTTAGGGAAAATTATTCTTTATACAATAATGGAAACACTATTTCTGTCCAAGAAAATCTTGTTAAAACAATATTGTTAGTTTTTTTACTCCATGTGAGATGCAAAACATCTTGAAATTGTTTTTATAAAAAAAACTTTGACTTAAAGAAAATTATAAAGACAAATAAACCACCGACCCTATTTCCCTTTACTTAGTAAAGATATGTGTGTATGTGAGAATAAACAGTATTCCCACATTTAGCTGCATGATACAGACTTTAATCTGGAAAAGATGTCACCAAAACTATTATCAATTGTTTTTTCTTACACCCTGCAAAAACCTTAAAACATTATTTTCTAAAATGGAAGTTACACACAGATTATTTTGTCATACAGGAAGCCATATAGGAAACAGAAGGCTATTCTAGATGAAGAGAAGAGCTGCCATCAAATTAGTTACTGAGGGATGAACACAGGTGAAATGTTGGGAAAAAAGGGAGAAATAAGATGTAATGTGAATTTAACTGTCCAATAGGTAAGATAATTTAAATAGCTATTCTTTCCCCATGAAAAAGTCAGTCATATTTTCATTAGCTCTTGGGGAAAAAATGGACCATTACACAAAAGACACAATGGTATGACATAAAGCACGTACCTGTAACATACCATTCTGATAATTTTACTAAATGAGCAGAATTTTCAAATTTTAGTCAATATTGACAGGGCAAGTGTATATGCATGTACTTTGTGTAGAAAAAGTATTCCTTTATTAAACAGATTTATGACTTTAAAAGGTTTACAATAACTATGCTACAAGTAAAAACGTAAAAGATAATTATTTGGGGGTATGTAAAACACCTCATGTAATAAGGTACTAAGGGAAATGGCCACAAATTCTGTGACATCGTTTTCATCCAGAGCTTGGATCTATATATATTCTGTCCCCTCACATCCAGGAAGGCTCTAGGACTGCTCTGAACAACAGAATATAACACAAGTGATATAGTACCAACTTCCCAGCCCCAGCCTTCAGAAACCAGTATTTTCCATTTCCTGTCTGTCTGAATATTTGCTCTTGGAAACCAGCTCTGAGAGGCCCAAGCCAGGGACAGGTCATGTGTAGGTGATTCACTATAAGCCTAGCTAAGACAGTAAAATCTGCCAATCGTGTGAATGATCCATCTTAGATGTTCAGCCTAGTTGAGCCTTTAGATGATATGTAATTTTTTAGATCACAGAAAACATAGACTTGAAGGTCTGAGAAAAACAGAACAGAAAAGGGGCATTCAAAAGAAAGAAGGAAAACAAGAAAGGAGGGAGGGAAGAGACAGAGAAATACAGAGTAAGAGGACAAGGGGAAACATTTTCTCTCAAAACCTTCAGTGATTTTAAGTCTTTAAATACTGCATGTAATCATGTTTATGAGCAAATTCAGTTACATGTAATATACATTTATATTCCTAGAGTAAATACAAGAATTAAAACTATAAAGGATTGTAATATATACAAACACAATTTTATTTCCATATTCTCAAACTTCATTTTCTTTCTGTTTTTCAGACAAAAATGTATCATCAACAATAAATTTCAGAATAAGATCCAAAATAATTTGGAAGGTGACTTCACAGGGGTGTTGTGAAAAACACAAAAATACTATGTATAGGAAAGCAACTTTTAAACTAGAAAACAACATGCAAGTTTAAATACAGTCTTAACAATTAACTAGAAAGTCCTCTTCTTGCTCTCCCAGCTTAAGTATAGGCAAAAATATGGACATAAGCATAAATATAGCAGTTATATAAGTTATAACATATCATATACCCTATGCCATTCAGGGCTCAACTCTAGTGCCAATTCCTTTATCAATCCTCCCTTAAACAATCTAATTATAAAAAACATCTAAATAAAAAAATAAACACACTGGGGATGGTGGCTCACGCCTGCAATCTCTGTACTTTGGGAGGCCAAAACAGGTGATCGTTTGAGCCCAGGAGTTTGAGACCAGTCGGGGCAACATGCCAAAACCCTGTCTCTAGAAAAATGCAAAAAAAATCAGCCAGGTGTGGTGGTGCACACCTCCTACAGTCCCAGGTACTCGGCAGGCTGAGGTGGAAGAATCACCTGAGCCTGGGAGGTCCAGGCTGCTGTGAGCTGTGATTGCACCACTGCACTTTAGCCAGCTTGGGTGACAAGAATGTGACCCTGTATCCAGGAAAAAAAGCAAAAGAAAGAAAGAAAAAGAAAAGAAAAGAAAAAACAAAAGAAAATGAAAAAAAAAAAACTTCTCTAGAATATAAGCTTCATGAAGTTAGGCATAAACGCCTGAAGAATAAAAATTAATCCCTATGTCACTTACTATATATATCTAGGAAATACTACTACTGCTTACTTATTTCTAGGAATGGACCATAAGAACTGACTCTAAAATACCATGAGGGCACCCTCTTAATGAAGCACCATTATCTTAGCTCTTAAACTTTATCTAAAGCACAATTATTTCTGATTGAGACTTTTCCCATGGTCTACTTAGTGTCTGTTATTCAAAAATGGAGAAAATCTAATGGAAAATTAACAGCTTCCAGGAAGAGATAAATTGCAATTATAAAATAGTTCAGTGATCGCAAAGATATATCCCTGAAGACTAAATACAATTTACATCTTGTTACTACTATTATGTCAAAGCATTAATGACTACTTTAATCAACATTTATCTTTTACTCTTCCTACAGAGCATTTAAATATTAACATGTTCTAAATGTTTATGATTATGGCAGTATCAGGATGGCCTGCTCTTCTTTATTTGATCAATGGAAAGTAACAGCCTGAAACACTTACCACAGCTTTTAACGTAAGTGTCCATGACCTCAGCACTAATCCCATTTGGCCCATTCTCACTTGGTGCGTATTTTCTAAAAAAGTTCTGAAAAGACAAACAAACAAATTAGGTGTTTTGAAACTATAAATAATGACCAACAAGTGTCTAGTATAAAACTTAATCAAAATACAGTATGAGAAATGCTGACTGAACAAAAGAATTGTAAGAGTACAATAAATACACTAGAGTTTCCACTAGGGGAAACTGTGTATAATGCACCCCTCTCCCGCTCAACCCCAGATTACCAATTGCACCTATTCTTTTACATTTAGAGGCAAAAAACAAACAAACAAACAAAAAAACACCACAGACCATATTATCTGAAAATACAATTAACATACTATTAGAAAATGAGTTTATCCTGGCCAGAGGCGGTGGCTCACGCCTGTAATCCCAGCACTTTGGGAGGCCAAGGCGGGCAGATCACAAGGTCGAGAGATTGAGACCATCCTGGCCAACATGGTAAAACCCAGTCTCTACTAAAAATAAAAAAAATCAGCGTGGTGGTGGGCACCTGTAGTCCCAGCTACTTGAGAGGCTGAGGCAGGAGAACTGTTTGAACCCGGGAGGTACAGGTTGCAGTGAGCCGAGATCATGCCACTGCACTCCAGCAAGGAAACAGAGCGAGACTCAAAAAAAAAAAAAAAAAGTTTATCCTATGTTTTCACCTATTTTGAATACCCTGTATTCCGACAAAGGATTTGCATCTGGAATATATTTAAAAAATTCCTATAAATCTATACAAAAACTATAAACAACACAACAGGAACATAGGCCATAGGAAGATGCAAACATGCACTTCATGGAAGAAACAAATGGCCTATACATAAATTTTCATATGTTCAACCTTACACATAATCAGGAAAATGCAAACAAACCAAAATGAGATACGAAGAATTTGAAGTTTGGCAACACTACGATTTTGGCGAAGATGTGTAGCAAGGAGAAACACAAGGAGAAAAACAGTTTCAGAAAACAACTTTTAATTACTGAAAAACAACTTCTAATTATCAAGTAAAGCCGAATGTGATCTATGATCCAGGTAAATGACTTACACAGATCAGATGTGCAGCCAAGAGTCAGTATACAAACTGTCACCATTTTCATTTTATAAAATCATAATTACACAAAACAACATAAGTAATCAAAAACTTTATGAAACAACGTTGGCAATTAGGACCCATGCTAAAAACTTTAAGTACACTTCATGTCCTCTTCAGAACAATCCTAAGAGTAATATGGGTTATTACGGAAATTTTACAGATGCAAAAACTATGTCTTGAAGGGTATGTTAAAGAGGTCCCCAGGACCACTGACAGGTTTGACTTGCTAGAAGGTCTTACAGACTAAACATGTAGTTGTATCACGACTAAGATTTGTTACAGAGAAAGGATACACAGTAGAATCAACATGGAAAACACACACAGAAAAAATCTGGAGAAATTCATACACAGGCATCCTAGCCCTCTCTGTCCTGTGAAGAGACACAGTGAGCTTCTTTTCCAATAGAAGAATAAAAAATAAAAAATAAAAAGCAGTAACATGAGTGCAATGTTTCTGATAAGGGAAGCCCATCAGACTTAGAACCCAAGGTTTTAACGGGAACTGGTCACCCAGGCAACCTCTGTCAAGCAACTATAAAGTTCCAGACTCCCAGAAGGAAAGCAGGTTGTTTAGTATAAAGCATATTATTTGAACAATCTAGGCACAGTGAACCACCCTTATCGATTAGGAAGCAAAGGGAACATGCTGAAAGCCAGTGACCAATCTCCTGGCAAGCAGGCCTTTCCAAAGATAGCAACCTTAGGGCTACCATGTTAACTCTTCTCTGCAGAAAGAGTTAACCAGTTCACTCAAGGTTACAGAGCTGGAAAGTAACATGGGTGGAATTCAATCCCAGGCAGTTTGATGTCATAAGCCTGAGCTTTTAACCACTGCACATGACTGTACCCCAAAATCAAAGAACAGAATAAGCACTTGCTTTGCAAAAGAATCGGAGTAATACTTTTCTACAAATCTGACTCCCATACTGAATAAATGGAACAATTAAATAGGGAAAGACAAAAACACGTTGTATCAAATATCTTCTGCCAAGTCCTTCTATGTTGTTTCTTTCATCTCGGGTGTGTCAATTTTTGTTTTAATTACATGCCTTTTTTTTACATAGGGAGGCAGGACAATTATATTTAAAAACAAAAATAAACCATTAAGATGTTACAAGAACTAATCCATGTATTTAAAGGGTAAAAAATAAAAAAAAATCCAAACGTATTCATTACTTTGTCACAGGAACCACTGACCTTTTCTCATATTTAAAGGGGAGCAACAGCTTGCAAGGAGAGGACAGGGGTCTTAGATAATTGTACAAAAGACAGATGAGCAACAATATCATTGTGGTAGTGTTCTGAGTAACAAAAACTGGAAATAAAGTGTCATCAATTAATATAACATAAATTACAATGTTTCCATTCTTTGGAATATAATGCAAGTACAAACGTTAACCAATTTTAATTTGTTCACCAATTAACTCTGGTGTTTTTTTTTTTTTGACACAGAGTCTCACTCTGTCACCCAAGCTGGAGTGCAATGATGTGATCTCAGCTCACTGCAGCCTCCACCTCCCAGGTTCAAGCAATTCTCCTGGCTCAGCCTCCCAAGTAGCTGGGACTACAGGTGTGTGCCACTGTGCCCAGATGATTTTTGTGAGTTTAGTAGAGACGGGGTTTCACCATGTTGGCCAGGCTGTGTTCACCAATTAATGCCTGATCCCTTGACACACAATGCATTGTTCAAGGAACTGAGTATCTGTAGGTAACAAACGGAAGAATCTTCAACTGCAAACATGCTTACTTCTGAATAAAGGAAGAAAAAAACTTGAAGAAAGAAAAATGATAAAAGGAGACTTTCATTTTTAACTCTATGTTATAAAGACTGAATTTTTTATGACAAGAACATATTCATGAATTGCATAATCTTTATTGATACCATACCTGAATGCTTCCCTCTGTATCAAGAACTTCAGCCACAGGAACTGACTGGATAAACTGCATGAAGCCTACACAGAAATGTATGCACTGCATTAAGCATAGCTACTGGTTAAGAAAGAAAAATAAAGGTTCTGCTAAGAATAATCTTCATCTGTGAATAAATGCATTCCATATCTGAACAACTTAAAAAGAACTATGTACACTATATTAAGTTTGTACTGGCATTTATGTCATACGACCTATAAGAAAACATTAAAAAAAAATTAAGCTGATTTAGTCTGTATGTTTCTCTAGGCTGATTTCTATTATAAAACATGAGGAACGAAAACTAATAGTAAGCTTCTTAAATCTAGCATCAAAAATTTGTTCTTTCTATAGATTTACAACATATACCAATTAAAATATTCCAAATTTAAAATCACCATAAGAAATCTAGAATTGTGGATTACAATCACCTAACCCTAAAAGCTGCATGTAAAACCGTATGTAATGGCTCCTTTGGTCTAATATTCCATCTTCTGTCATTTCCTGGTAATGACAGATGTGTAAATCCCTTAAACTACCAAAAAAAAACCAAAAGGGAAAGGGGACAGACAGTATGTAGGAGAAGGAGGAAAAAGTCAGTCTGATAAATCTGAAGACAAAAGAAACATAAAACAATGGATATATTTAAAAAATAAAAGTTGGATAAAGAAAACAATATTTCAGGATCATAAACTATCATGATCTGGTTCTGGTAAGCCTACAGGACAATAATTTGCATGCAAATTAGGAGATTATATACCCCTGTAGAGTAAGAAATATCTCATTTATTCTTGCATCATAAATACAGAATAGTTGGCACTAATTCACTTAACAGGTATTTATTGTTTCTTGACCATGTCGGAAGAAATTTGTCAAGTAAGTAAAAATAGATGCTTGATGCTGCCTACATGGATCTTAAAGCTTACAAGCTTCACTGGGGTAAATACTATGAATAAAGGGTACTATGAAAGGAAGTAGTGTAAGGACACCTAACTTACAGTAGGGATCGAAGGACATCTGACATTTGAGCCATGTTTTCAAGGATAATAAAGTTAGTAGGCCATGGAGATAAGAATGTTTGAGACAATGGTCACAGTGTATGCGAAGGCCTTAGAGCACAATGCATTAGATAACACAGAAGGTAGCCAGGATGGCTAAAGCCCAGGATGCAGGGGAAGAGTGGTAAAAAGAAGAGGCTTGAAAGATAGATATAGGGTGTGTCACACTATGCAAGCACTTAGAAGCTAGGTAAAGGTTTTTGGGGTCTTTGTCCCAAGAGAAAATGAAAGCTAATAAATGATTTTTTGCAGGATCGTAAAGATGCACATTTGCACTTTTTAAAAGATCATTCTGAGAAGAAACTGAGAAGAGTAATTAACGGCATCAAAAAGATTGGGAGTGGCCAGCGGAAAAGGATAGGAAACCTAACGCATATATTTTATTTCTCATAACTACTAGTATAAAGTTATGGGAAGGTGGTGCAAGACTATGGAATTTTTTACAGTAAGCATTAGGCAAGCAATTCCTAGGAATCTTTCTACCAAACTTCCCGAGATTATTCATCTCAAAAAAGACTCAGATGGGTTTTGTGCATGTGGATTGTGTGTGGTGTGTTGTGTGTGTGTGTCTAACGAGGATTGTCCAGGAATGTCTGAAATTCCTGTTCTCAGTAACTACATTTAACAGTTAGTTAAAATTAACCAGTTCCCAGTAGTTTACTGAGAAACAGGAAAGAAGGGAAAGACAGAATGGAGGCAGGCAGGAAAGGGTCCAACCCCTTGTCTTCTTAGTGTTTTACAAATGAAATATTTGTATCTCTAACATACTTAAAAATTTTCAATTTGAAAAAGTACACACAATGTACACTAAAGTAAAATAATAATGTAAAATATACTTACCATGTTTTGTACTGGTGGCTAACACCTTATAAGGTGTCAATTTCAAGTCCAGATTTTCTTTCCGTAACAGCTTTTAATCAAAAGGTAAAATATATTAACCAAATGTACAGACTGTTAAAAGACACTTTTGTGGGCAAATAGTATAGCAGTTTAATATAATACAGATTTAGGAAATTAACCTAAATTAAGTTTAAATTAGTTAATTTAGGCCCAGCACAGTAGCTCACGCCTGTAATCCCAGCACTTTGGGAGGCCAAGGCAGGTGGATCACCTGAGGTCAGGAGTTCAAGACCAGCCTGGTCAACATGGTGAAACTCCGTCTCTACTAAAAAATACAAAAAAAATAGCTGGGTGTGGTAGCGTATGCCTGTAGTCCTAGCTACTGAGGAGGCTGAGGCAGGAGAATTGCTTGAACCCAGGGGGCGGAGGTTGCAGTGAGCCAAGATCACACCACTTCATTCTATCCTGGGCAAATGAATAAACCCCATCTCAAAAAAAAAAAAAAATTAGTTAATTTAACTTTGATCATCAAAATTAAATTTACTAAGGACTCAGACGATGGTATGTCAAATTTTTCATCTACTCTAAATCTCTGTTAGCAGTTTTCAATGAACAATAGGGTTGTTCCTATCACTTCCTGCAGTCCTTTCTGGCCACAGAGTACTTCAGAGCTCAGTAAAAGGGAAATAGGGCAAACACGTACTTTTTAATGCCAGGGATTAAAAAGATTTAAAAAAAAAAAGATTTAATAGACTAAGAGGAAGGAAACTACTAAATCCCATATTTAGAGAACTTAATTTGGAAAAAAAAATTAATGGAACATATGCAGTTCCACTTTATACTCAACACAAAAGCCATTCTGAAGTGTATAAAAGCAACCAAATTTTTTCAAGGTCAGCAGAGACTGTTGAGCTTTCTAGGATCGTACCTGAACGTTACAAATACTTCTGTTTCATAAACAGCAAATGTACTAAGCCACAGTCTTCCAAAATGAAAAAAAATGTTCCCCACCAACATAAGGTCATGTTCACCTTATCCATGAGTGAAATGATTTGAAGAATAAGTTGATCTTGACGTAAATCATCTCCATGCTTAAATATAACTGGATATTTGCCTCCATCTTCTGTCTTAAAAAACAACTGTGCAGGCATAAGGGCACTCTGGAAAATAAAAATATTGATTTCAAATTTGGCCATGAATTAATGCATATAGGTGTATTATACATACAAGAAAATGTTGATATGTAAGATAAATACACAGGTAAACAGGACCTAAAAAACAAGTTGGGTTTTCAATGAGATACATTAGGGTATCTTGGAAAGAACAGTGAACTAGCTAATTATCAGAAGACTACATGATAGAAGGCACACAAGCTCTGCAATCAGTCATGTGGTTAGAACACTGCAAGCTCTGCCACGTACTCGCTGAACAGTCCCGTGTATATTCTTTGTTTCCTCATTTGTAAAATATAGATAGCATCTCGTCTGCAGAGTTACTAAGGCAATCAGAAACTGTACAGGTCTGGCATCATGCCTAATACAGAGATGACATTCTATATATACCTATCATCATTTTCTATTGTTAGAGGTATACTGAAATAAATAAGATGAAACAGTATAGCATAACAACGTACCAGATGTAAAGTCAAGAGCCCTGGTTTTTAATGGCAAGTATACCACAGGTTGAGTATTCCATAACAGAAATGCTTGCAAAAGTTTGGGATTTTGGACTTCCCTGGATTTTGGAATATTTGCATATACAAAAATAAAATATTTTACGGATGTGACCCAAGTTTAAACTTGAAATTCAATTACGTTTCACATATACCCTATACACATAGACTGAAAGTAATTTTACACAATATTTTTAGTAATTTTGTGCTTGAAACAAAGTTCTGACCCTGTTTTGACTGTAATGCATGACATAAAGTCAGCTGGAGGATTCTCCACTTGTGGCATCATGTCAGCACTCAAAAAGTTTCAGATTTTGGAGAATTTTAGATTTTGGATTTTTGGATTAGAGATGCTCAATCTGTACTAGTTGTGCAGCTTTAAGACTCAAATTCCTCATTTATAAAATGAGAAGAGGTCTCAAATACCTGTATCTTTTATTCTGGAATAACTTTATGTTTTCCCCAGAGTCCTTCCCTTAATTATATGTGGTCTAAATTAGTTTAGGTATATGTTTAAATCAACAACAACAACAAAAAATAAATTAAATTCTCTTTAGAAAGGGAGACTCATACAAAACCTCACATAGAGTGGCATGCTAAGATGGATAGTCTGGACATAAATGTTTAGAAAATTGTTCTGAGAGAGAGAGACCCTATTGAGTTTGGTCATCGAGAAGAAATTATGTACGACAAAAATTTGGAGAAACATATTAATCCAGAGAAAAAAAAACGAGTCAAACAAATCTAAAAACAACAACAAAAAAAAATGGTAATAACCAAGAGAAATAATGGCGCAAAAAACATCATGCAGAAGGATGAACAGATGTGGCAAAACAAATGGCAAAATGTTAATGACAGAATTAAAGTGGTAGATACATAGTTGTCTACTGTAAAATTCCTTCAACTTTGCTGTATGCTTCAAAACTTTCCTATAAAATGCTGGGGGGAAAAAAAACATAGAAAATGGTTCAGAGAATGTATGTTTAAAGCTTACAAACTCTAGTTGGAATAAAATTCTGAACTTTAAATTACTTTAAATTTGGAATATCCTTTTATCACTCCTGGTGAAAATGTTATTTTATAAATTACCTTGAGCCCTAGTAATTGGAAATCTTCCTAAAGATAAATGACAGGTAGGAGAATCTTTGTTGTGATTTCTTTTGTCAGATTCAATTAGACTTCATCTAATTTAGATTTCGTCTGAAATTTAAAGCAAGAAGACAACCACAGGATAACTAGCACTTATCCCAGTGCCGTAAGGGGTCCACTCCTCATGAATATCCAGCTTTGGCTGTTACATTAAGGTGTACAAAATTACTTTTAAAACTACTAGAAATAAGGGTCCTTAACCTTTTCAGCTCTAAGGAGCTCACACAAGGACGACAGGAGTCCATAGATCCTCTGCAAGTGTATGCAGAAATTTCAGTGTATTTGTAAGCATATGGGCAATTTTCTAAAGTGTATAATCCATCACTTTCATCAGATTCTCAAAGGCATCCATGAGCCCAAGTAGCAACTCTCTCTACATAACTAATATTATATAGCCACTGCCTCAGAACCATTATTCCTAAACTCCAACTCAAAATTTTTAAGAATGCCCATATACTTAAGAGTTGAAATAAAAATAATCAAGACTGAATATTCAGGTGAAAAAGATTTCCCATATTTTAAGTCATAAGACATAATTATAATATGTTGTAATTAAAAAGAGTATGAGTCTAGAATCCACCTACCAATAGAGGGAGATACATCTTCTTGTACTCCACTCTTAAAACCCCTGCTATATGTCTTAGATACTCTTTTCTACCATGGTTGGAAAAAAATGGTAAAATTACTTTTTTGATTCACTGCTCTTGATGAGTCCTTAGTGTTCAAGAATATTAGAAGCTGGTCTTCTTTGGGAGTTCTAGCTCAAAGGAATGCCAGTTGTTATATGTATATTACCTTGTGTATAGCTTTTTACATTTCAGTCTCCAGTAGATTGCAAGCACAGACTAAAAAAATTTGCACTGTATCTCCTATACCAGTATTTTCAAATTGCATATAGTAATACCAGTATTTTTAACTTGTAGGTTGTAATCTGTAGAGAAGTTTAAAACCAATAGGTTACAAGCAACATTTAAAATTAAAGCAACAGAATAATGTTTAAAATAATAGAAACTATCCGTCCATAACAACCAGTTAAGGTTAAGTATTGCTTTATGAAACTTATGTTTTGGTTGTTATGAGCTGGGCTGCAACCCATGACCAAATACGAAGCTGCCTTGAAACATACCTTTTTAAAAAATATGAACTATTTGCTACTATAATTACACCCGTGTATATACATTAGTTGTTGTTCTATGAGCCCTTCCTTAACTCATGTGAAGTTAATATTCAGTGCAACTATGCCTTTCTACCACTAGAACCACAAAACATAAAACACCATGTCTCACAAACATCTTTCAGTATGACGTTGACAGATAATGATGCTCTGGCCTTTGGCCCTTTGAGCCTGATTAGAGAAGGCAGCTGCATCAGTTGTTTCTACCTGAACTGGTGGCCAGTCAATAGAAAAAACACCAAGCCTGGTATGCGATTAAGGACTAAAGAGAATTGCCATGTGAAAATATAAGAAAAAACTTAAGGTTCAATAGGAACAGATGCCAGACTGAGAAATGTTAAAAAGGTCAACTGGGACTCGTATCTAACCATCTAAACTCATGAACTGAATGAACACATGATATGTCTGCAATTTGCCCTGTAAAAAAAAATGTTTACATAAAGAAAAGTAGTTATGGATCTGATTAACAATTAGCTCAAAAAATTAAATATTATCTTGGGTATGGTGGCGCATGCCTGTAATCCTAACACTTTGGGAGGCTGAGGTAGGAAGACTGCTTGAAGTCAGGAGTATGAGATCAGCCTGGATAACAAAGTGAGGACCCATCTCTACAAAAATAAAACAATAAAAAAATTAAATATTAAAAAACAACCCAGAGATATAAAAGTATTTCACATATCATATAAAAATGCCCATGTACTGTAACAAAAGAAGATCTTAAATGGAAACACACTGATAAATGAAAGGTACCCTTTGATTCAGCATTTACTAAATCAACTAGAATTACAGAGGTGATCTCTGCAATGTAGTAATTTTCCAAGGTAGTATCTCTGATCTAGTTTAAGATTTAGGTTCCAATCATACACATTAAATATCCATCACAATTACTTTAAACAGTGTAGCTGTTTCCGGAATTATTCCTCTAATTTTCACTTGGGGTTCTAAAGGCAACGGGATAAGTTCCACATCTGACAAATTCATCTTTTCATTATCTCCAAGCAACGCCTGTAGTCTCTCATTCTAGAACAAATCAGAAAGGATTAATTAGGTTAAAATAGAAGAGTAGTTTATAAAACATACAGTAAAGACATAAAAATTGATTCTATTAACTTAAAAATATTTGCAGAGCACCAAAGTAATATAAAGGACATAGTGTTGTATGTGAGAGAAAAGCATGCATAAATAATCCCTAACAACAGCAGTAGCAGGCTTTAAACCAAACAATCCCTAAGTGTGAAAGGCTGGACTTCCACAAGAAGGACAGAGAATACATTTCACTTGCTACAGCTGACAAAGAATCAGGAACTTATTCAAGTTGGACCTAAAGATTCAATTTCTGTTTCCAAGGACTTGTGAAGCCACAGAGAGAAACTGAAATTTCATTCAAAGTTTAATCTTGCATGACCAAATATTACGCAAAAATTTCATTAGGCTGCCCCAGTGCATTTTTTGAGTTTAAAAAGGAAACTTAATTCACTTGGAGGAACTATAACGCTACTTTCTAACTTTCACTGAGTCTGTACAGTCAAACTTTTCCTAGGATATCATCATTCATTTTCTTCAGCTCATATACATAACGCATTAAGCTAATATTTCAGAAACTAAGAAATCCAAGTCATGAGGAAACAGCTTCATCATTAAGCAACATCTATACTATTTAGAAGAACTCCTTCTATTCAATTTCAAAAGAACAATCAATTTCCTTTAAAAGCTGGGAAAGTCTTGCAATCTTGAGGAGCAGGGCTTGCTCACCTAAATAGGTGAGTTTGTTCTTCAAGAGGGAAAACTCAACATGACAATCCCAGCAGCATAAAACACTTCAACTATGATGCTACTGGGAAGTTGAAGTGCTTTGTGCTGCTGGGTATGCCTCAAAGGAGAGAACTCCAGAATCAGTGAAAGAAGTTCAGAAAAAAATAATATGTTTCAAGGACAAAGAAGATGTAAAATTAAATTATTTCCCTTCAGTAATAATCCCATCTCCTCCTGAATGATGAAAAGTTCAAGTTAAAATCAACTGAAAATCAACTGGTATGAATTTCTACATAAGTGTTACAAAAATCACTAAATCTACTCCTTAACTAAATGGACGGTCAGATCTACTTCACAGATCTAGTGAAGTAATATCAACTAATTTGAGAGTAAAGTTATCTTAGCTTAACAAATTTCTAGTTGATGTGCTGATTAAAATAAATAAATAATCAGAAACTAAAATAAGAACAGGGTGAGAAATCTAGCCACTTCTTACCACCTCTACCACTATAAGCCCTAAGAACCCAGCCACTATGATTTCTCATCTTGATTACTGCAATAGCCTCCTTTCTGATTGCTCCTCTTCTTCAAACTTTTCACTCTCCTAGTTTCTTATCAAAAGTAACCAGAGTGCAGCTGCTAAAATGAAAGCCAGTTCACGTTACCCATCAATTCAAAATCTTCAACAGCTTCTACTCTTACTCGGTGTTCCAGTCAAAATAATATTGACTATAATGATTTACAAGGATAAATTTCATCCATTTCCCAATTATCTCTAACCTCATCTCCTATTACTGTACCCATTCCCTCTGCTCCAAATACACTGGGTTTCTTCCTATTTCTCACAACTGCCACACATGCTCCCACCTCTGGGGCTGTGCACTGCTATTCCCCTGGCTGGAACAAACTTCTCCAGAAGACCAGCTTGCTTTCTTACATGCTTCAGGTCTTTGTTCAAATGTCAATTTCTCAGGGAGGCCTTAACCTGGCCACTCTGTTAAGAAGTGATACACTGCCTTACTACTGGACACAAGTACTGCCTATTCCCCCTTTCTGTTTTACTTTTCTAGATAACACATAACACGATCTAGTACACTACACACATTTTACTTATTTATTGCATTTACTCTCTTTAGTGAGAATATGATCCCCAAAGGCGAAGAGATTTTTATATTCACTGCTGTATCCCAAGAACCTAGAAAAGTGCTCTGCTCAGAGTAGGCATGCAATACATATTTCATATTGGTAGAACACATAAATGTGTAATATCCCCTAAAAAATCATAAAGTGAAGAGAGACTACTTATAATATTAACAGTGAAAGTGTTAATATATTTTAAACGTAGATGGAAAAGATGGCCAGGCACAGTGGCTCATGCCTGTAATCTCAGCACTTTGGAAGGCCGAGGCTGGCAGATCACTTGAGGTCAGTTCGAGATCAGCCTGGCCAACATGGTGAAACCCCATCTTTACTAAAACTTAGCCAGGCGTGGTGGTGCACACCCGTAGTCCCAGCTACCTGGGAGGCTGAGGCAGGTTAATTGCTTGAAAATGGGAGGCAGAGGCTGCAGTGAGCCGAGATCATGCCACGGTACCATGGTACTGCAGTCTGGGTGACAGAGCAAGACTCCGTCTCAAAAAAAAAAAAAGTAGATGAAAAAGGCATTTTATTAGAATTCAAATATGTAGACTCAGACCTCTTCTAACATAATTTTTCCTAAACTAGAGATCAACGAAGGAAAGAAGACAACAACAATATTATCATTTTCTTCACTCATCTGACACTTAACTCAGGGATTACTCTGCCACAGATCTAACACTGCTATACCCACTGTGATATAGCTCTCGCAAATAAATTATGAGGGATGAAAAAGTGCTACATATGATTTTATATGATTAGTGGCTATTTCAATATTACTAGTATTAATGCCAATAATGGTAGTAGAGAGCTCTCTCTGCATTTCTTCATGGTGCCAGGGCTTGTTTCTAGTAAATATATGTAAATAAAATTAAGTTTGTTTTTTACTGTATCATGATAAAATGCCTATAAAGATTTTCAGCCAATATGGAAACTATATTTGGGATGGTCTGGCTTAAAACATAGGCTATGTGAGAAACACAAAATTTATTTGGGGAGACTCTGGGTGATGTCTCAAATAGGTGGTCAGCCTCCAGAAGAGCTAAAACTGAGGTGTTGCCAAGGTTCCTGTGTCTGCTAAACTGAAGAGCTCCTGGCACTAAAACAAACTGGTTTCAAATATAAGCTCCAAACTGCAGGTCAGAGCAGCAGACACTCCCTCTGCTGGCGGGCATTTGGGAATCACACTGTTTCCCACACAGGCACCTCTGGGAAGAGGTGCTACGGCGGGAACAGCAGTAGAAATGTATTTATTAGATCAAGGTTTGTGATTCTTCTCAACAACAAAGAAAATGTCAACTCAACAGAACTGTGTTTCCTCTCAGCCTGTTTTCCCCTCTCTAACCTGCTGAGCATTACTCATTACTTCTTCTACACGGCTCTGCTACCATTTCTCTTTAGACCTGATTCTTTGCCTTTGAACCACTGACTCAAATCTTCATCTTTTCCTCCTCTCTCTGCTTTCCTTTAAAAGTCTAAAGAACAGTAAAATGTGTTGTTTTACAAAGGTCACCAAGAAAGGCCTGCCAATTATCTAATGGAATTAGGAACACATACCAAGTGAATCCTTCGTATCATTTAGGCTACTGATCAGAAAAAATGACAGGTGAAGAACTCATCTACTTCTACCCATCAAGTGGAAACCTCATAGTTGAGAGAAAGCCTGATGTACAAGCCAGGAGAGAAGAGATACAAAGCTAGTGTTGTTACTAACAACCAGTTCTGAACCCCTGGGCAAGTTACTCTGGACTTTTGTTTTCTCAGAAGAGTTCTAGTCTAAATGATCTCTACAGATTCTTTCCATATCAAATATATTGTATATTCTAATTTGCTAAAATGAGAGGTGGTAAAGCACTGTGGATAACAATATGGACTAAGAATGTCTGAGTACAAATCCCCACTCCAATATTTACTAAGCTGTATGACATTAAACAAATTAATTGACCTCTCTTTACTTTCTTCTCCTCACAATTGGGATAATAATACGTCCTAACTTATAGGGTTGTTACGAAGACTAAATATCATATCAATATATATAAACTCATATACCATTCCTATTACTATAATTTCATGATATGAAGTTCACATAATATGCCGGGCACAGCGGCTCACGCCTGCAATCCCAGCACTTTGGGAGGCTGAGGCGGGTGGATCACCTGAGGTCAGGAGTTCGAGACCAGCCTGACCAACATGGTGAAACCTCATCTCCACTAAAAATAGAAAAATTAGCTGGGCATGGTGGCGGGTGCCTGCAATCCTGGCTACTCGGGAGGCTAGGGCACGAGAATTGCTTGAACCCAGGAGGCAGAGGTTGCAGTGAGCCAAGATCATGCCACTGCACCCCAGCCTGGGCGACAGAGCAAGACTCTGTCTCAAAAAAAAAAAAATAATAATAATAATAATTCACATATCAACCCAAAAAGACAACAGTGAAAATTCAGTATTTTCTGATGCTAAGACGTTATTAAATTATGAACAAAAGCATACCCCATAGGCTTACCTTTTTCTTACGATTTCCACTTTCACGTTGTACTGCCTTCATTAGATGCACCAACCGATCTACAAATGTCTGTTGTGCGGCCAGCAAAGAACGCATAACTCTGACAGACTTATCACCCTGAAGGGTTCAAAGTGAGAAAAAATTAGTTCTATGTAGCGTAATGGTCAGGGTTTCTTTAACAGCATGGATAATCCTTATTTATATTTCTCATAGCTGTAAACTTAAATAGAAAGCAAAATTGAAAAACATTATCTTGATTCAAAAACAATGAGAAACCCTGTATCTTAGTTACTGACAACACTAATCCATCCACAACTGAAAATTATCTGAGTCTTCAGCAAATACTGGTCTATCCACAACAGCATTTTTTTTCCCCACATAAACCATGTGACAAGATGGAATTCATTCATCCTAAAATACATTCACTCATTATTTGATTCAATAAATATCCAATGGCTTTTGATGCAGAAATGTGCTGGACATATATACATAAATATGGCAGAAACAAAGATATAGGTCTTCAAGGAACCAAAAATCAACTTTAAAAAAAAGAAAATTTCAAATAGCACCACAATATGTGCTTAAAATATAAGTCATAAAAACTAAATGCTATACGGTCTTATGTAGTGATTCCTAGTTCATAAAATATTATAAAGTACATTTCTAATTTAATCTTCCCAATTACCCTGGTAAGGGAAGCTGTGTAAATGTTATCATCCTCACTTCGAAGATGAGGAAATTTAAACTTGAAGAAACAGAAGTGTCTTCACAGGGTGACAAAGGCTGTAACAGAAACGAGATTAGAAGAGAGGACCAAGGGCTTATTTGCCAATCAGTTTGATGTTGAGAAGCTCTGGGAATGAATACAAAAGCTTAGTCTCAAAGTGTTTAATAAGATGTGATTTAAATTTTTAAAAGCATGAAACATGCAACAGATGAAAGATGCCATGAAATAGACTATTTCTGCCGCAAGTCCCAGATTAATGTGTGGCAGCTTTCTTTTCACTGCCCTTGCACCCTCTGCTGGCCGAACTGTGACACTGCTTTAAGAATCAAAAGAACACAGGAAAAATAAATCTCTTTTAAAAGCTGTTGAAAAGCCAAAAATACGTTATATAAAAAGTATCTGCAATACGACCATGGCCAGATTTCTGGAAATATACACAGCTTTGATAAGAAAGATACACAATAGAAAGGAAAATAAAAAAGCAAAGCTCTTTCTTTTTTAACTCCATGTACAGGTTTATTTCATTAAATTAGGGATCAAGAAAACTTCTGTAAAGGGTCAAAGATAACCTATTTTAGGTCTTCTTGGCCACGCAGTTTTCATTCCAACTATTAAACTCCTATTGAGTATAAAAGTAGCCACAGACAATATAAAATCAAATGAGTTCATGATTCTATTCCAATAATTTATTTATGAACACTAAAACTTGAATTCACATAATTTTCATGTATCACCAATTATTTTTCTTCTTTTGATTGGTTTTCAATCATTTAAAAATATAAAAACCAGGTCGGGTGCAGTGGCTCACATCTGTAATGCTGGTACCTTGGGAGGCCGAGGCAAGTGGATCACCTGAGGTCAGGAGTTCCAGAATAGCCTGGCCCAACATGGCGAAACCCTGTCTCTACTAAAAATACAAAAATTAGCTGGACATGGCAGTGGGCGCCTTTAATCCCAGCTACTCAGGAGGCTGAGGCAGGAGAATCTCTTGAACCCGGGAGGTGGCGGCTGCAGTGAGCCAAGATGGCATCACTGTACTCCAGCCTGGGTAAGAGAGCAAGATTCCGTCTCAAAAAAATAAAAATAAAAAAATATATAAAATCACTTTTAGCTCATGAGATGTTCCAAAACAAGCAACAGGCTGAATTTGGCCCATGCACTGCAGTTTGCCAACCCCCACATTTAATGGTTACCTTCAACAACGCTTGGCTAAATCTTCTCATTACATTCAAGTACATCTCATGGGTCTTTGGATCCCTCTGCTGGGTATCTTGATCTTCACATTCCACGATCACATACCTTAAAAATATGTTTGAGCCATTCGTGTGATGTGAAACGAAACTTAGATTCAGTTTGCAAATACTCATTATCATTTCACTAAAACAGGTTAATTTACACATGCAAAAATAATCAAATTGGAGTAATAAAACACATTTTATCATCTCTTTTAAAAGTGAAAAGTTAGAGGAACACATACAACCATCAATAAAAGGTAAATTAAGAGTGATAATGCCTTAATTTGTGTAATATCCCAAATTTTCTAAAACTTTTGCCACCAAAACAAGCATTTTCTCCTATTTATGAGGTAGAGTATTAACATCCTCAGAAATCATCTAAGCTCACATATTTACTGAGTAACTGGAGAACAAAAACTATTATTTTCATAATCTGCATAATACTTCGGTATTACATAAGGCTCTCTGATTCTGAAAACCTCTCTGAAGCTACTCCTGTCACTTACATTTTTGAAAGATGAATAAAATTTTAAGTAATTTTTTCTTTCCCATCCAGTTTCCCGTTTTTCAAAGATTCATACATAATCTTTAACTTCCCAATTAAAAAACTATGGTTTTAGAGAGTAAAAGACATTTTAAATGTTTTCTTAAACCTAATCTGCTTATACAATTATAAAAATCATATAAGCAATGGTCTGAGTAAGATTTTATAGGTCTTCTAATCCAGTGTTTCTAAATGTTCCACTGGCAACAAACCAAAGCAAATAACAGGTTGGGAATGGTGGCTCACGCCTATAATCCTAGCGTTTTGGGGAGGCCTAGGAAGGAGGATCACTTGAGGTCAGGAGTTTGAGACCAGCCTCTACACTTAAAAAAAAAAAAATTACATATAAGCCAGGTGTGGTGACACCGCCTACAGTTCCAGCTACTAAGGAGGTTGAGATGAGAAGACAGCTTGAGCCCATGTGAAGCTGCAGTAAGCTATGATTGTACCACTACACTCTAGCTTGGGCAACTAACGGAGATGGTACCTCTTAAAAAGAAAAAAAAAGGTATCACAGCTTGATACACACAGCCACATATGCACATAGATGCATAAAACTGAAAAGTTTCACAAAGCAACATCCTGTGAACAATATGTTAATATTTGCTATTCTGTTTATTTTTCTTTAAATAACAAATGCTAGACTGAAACTTTAAATTGCTTTCAGTGGATCATGATGATGTGTAGTTTGAAAACCATCAGTCTCAATCAACTTGCTTGCTTTATCAACAGTGAAACTTAGAGGGGCTGTGTCTTGTCTATGGTGGTATGATTGATTATAAAATTGAGATAGAAACCCAGGACTTTGGGCTCCCAGGTCAGACTTTTTTGATTTTACTAAGTTGACTTTCACACTGTTTTATCCTTAAAACACATACGAAACTTTTCAATCTTCTTAACTGTCAATGTTTCCCAAATCTCAAGTCACGGATGCTTATTATTATCCTTTCTACTACTTCCAGGAGAGTATACTCTGTATTCAGCCATTCAGATGGTCGACTTCATGAGAGCAGAGGGCTTACCTGTCTTGTTCTCCACTATACCTTCAGCATGCCTGGCTCATAATAGATGCTCAACATATTATTAACATATTACTGTTGAATGAATAATTCCACTATTGTGGATTTAGGCTACTATCTCATTATTGATAATTTTCAAATATAAATACATATTCCTTTTTTACATCTAAGGTCTAATTTTGAATTCCATTACATGACCTGTTTTCACATTCATGCACCCTAATTTTCAAGGACCAGATCCCCTTTTCAAGACAGTTTGTCATTTCTAACTGAACATGTGTAAAACCAAACTTATCACATTAAATGCATCTTTTTCTACCTCTATTGAAGGTACTAACAATATCCCAGGTATTTGGGCTAGGAATTCTCATGTAGGAGGGTTCACAAACTCAATTTTTCTCAAAAAGCAGGCAGGAAACAAATGTTTGACTCACTTAAATAGAAGGAAAGAGAGAGAGGTAGGGCTGTAGCCAAACCAGAGAACACAGCACTAGCTAAAACTTTCCTTGGCCCTCTGTTCAATTTGTGGTCCATGAATCTAACACTGTACTTTAAAACAAAAAACAGCAGTTCTAAACAGTGAAACTGTCAATATGGTATTATTCAACTCCAATCCATCCCCTTCTACCCTTTATAGTTAAAGTCCTTGATTGTCTCCGTCACCTTAGGGTATTCAGAATCTTTTCCTGTGTTTATGCAGTAAACTTACTTCCAAATGAACATATAGCTGACCACAATGTAGGGGCCCACTGCTGTGTCCTGCTCTTTCTGATCACCAAGTAAACACTATGGCTGCAGCTATTTTCTGTTACTGAAAATATATGTTGATGCTTATAATAAGCATCAAGTATCAAACACCTCTCAAAAATCATTCAAGCCGGCCAGGTGCGGTGGTTCATGCCTGTAATCCCAACACTTTGGGAGGCCGAGGCAGGGGAACTGATTCAACCTGGGAGGTAGAGGTTGCAGTGAGCCAAGATCGCACCCTTGCACTCCAGCCTGAGCAACAAGAACGAAACTTTATAAAAAAAAAAAAAAAAAAAAGACACTGTCATCTCCAAATATGGGAGATAAGGTTAGCTATCAAGACTAGAAGACCTAGATTTGAATCATTTCTGAGGTTTCTGTTCACATCCATAAACTAGATTCTATAAAACACTCTAAGGTATTTCTTTGAAAACTGTCATCTTAAAGTAGGAATGCAAACAAAATTGTCCAGGTACCCATTGTAAGATGACATCAGTGGGCTACCTGTTTCTTGGCAATTTTATTTTGTGGAGTAAATAACCTTTATTACCTTGAAAGGTCTTAAAAGTTATAGAAAACATGTCAAAGCATCCAAAGTTTACTTTCAACTTCAACATCCTAGAATGGCTATAAAAATAAAAAACTGCAACGATTTATAGATTCTGATGCCCAACATTTTACAGACTGGAGACTGTAACTCCCCTCTGTGGCTTAAAAGGTTGACACTATTCATTTTAAAAGGATTGTCTGCACACCTATAGGCCCCTAAGGATTTAGCTACAGCAAGAATCCTGTTTAAATCACCAGAAAGGGAACAAATGAAAAAAGGAAATTCAAATGCTCAAAGGAAACAGCACAATCAATTAAAATTTCTATTTTAATACATTTGTTATAATAGAGTAGGCTTACAGAAGCATTTATATTCTCACATTTTGTTATTTTTATATGTTCAAAGGAAGAGAAGAATGATCATTTTAAACCAACTACTTGAAATTATTTCCCTTATTGTTACCTTACATTCACAAAAGCAGTGTCTATTAAAGGCAAGAGTCCACACATCAATAGCCTTTCTCCCCATGAGTATTTCTGAATATGTAATAGGCAGACTGTAAATATGGGAAAAACAATTACTCCTTAGGGAATGAAGAGACACAGCATATGCTATTGATTCAATGAATCAAGAGATATAGTGGGAAAACACAAATCAAATCTAAGTTTGATTGAATGTTTATAAGACTGGGAACTAGGGCTGTACTTTGTTTATAGGAAAAAAAAGTGTGCTCCTTATGAACAGAAACAGCTGCTATGCTGGAAACTTCATCTAATAGACTTCCTACTGTTTGGCTGCTTTCAGAAACTTCTTCCTACTTGAAATAAGAGATCAAAGATTCTATCAAAACTCATTTCAAATTTAATAATGAAATCTGGTCTACAATCAAACATAAAGAATATGTAACTTGAAAGCACTACATAATCAGTATATATACATATAGCTCTTACCATAGTGAATACTCTAGACTATGATTTCTGAGCCAGAGAAAAGTTTCTGTGGATATTGCAAGGAAACAAAAATACCTGTAAATGAATTCTTAGCAAATTATTTAAAAAATATATAAAATTTTAATTTAAAAATACCTAAGAAGTTTTGAAATATTTACTCAAAAACTCAAGAAACATACCCCACAAATATTTTTTTCTCTTTACTTCCTTTTAAATATTTATATTTTCATGAGGAAATATTTTTCCAAAAGACCAGTGAATAGACATACCCTTAAGTATTCAGATTGGAACATAGAGAACATTAGAGGTAAAAGGTGACATTTAAAGGAAACAGTAGCAATTTAGCAATATGAGAATTTCTAAGTAAACCTTTCAAAGAAAAAACAGTGATTAACAATTAGTCAAAACCTCCTATATTTTCAAGGACATAATGAAATTTAACATGAGGAAAATGTTGTTTTATGAATATTACATTAAACTGCTAAAGTAAAAGTAGGAAACTATTTTTCTTCCCACTACAGAGGCCAACAGAAAAAAAACAAACAACCACCAAAAAAAAAATAAACACAGGTTCCAAAGGGGAGAAAATCACTGATTTACTTAAGATTGTTGACAGTGGTTTTTCTTCATTGTAAAGAGAACCATAAAGGCTTAAACTAAACAAATATTTCTTGTTTATGTAAATTGAAAACTATGTGTGTTAAAAGAGTGCTCCATAAAAAACGATGAGTTCATGTCCTTTGTAGGGACAAGGATGAAGCTGGAAACCATCACCCTGAGCAAACTGTCACAAGGACAGAAAACCAAACACTGCATGTTCTCACTCATAGGTGGGAACTGAACAGTGAGAACTTGGACTCAGGGCGGGGAACATCACATACTGATGTGACGGAGTGGGGGGACGGGGGGAGGGATAGCATTGGGAGAAATACCTAATGTTAATGACAAGTTGATGGGTGCAGCACACCAACATGGCACATGTATACGTATGTAACAAACCTGCACGTTGTGCACATGTACCCTAGAACTTAAAGCATAATAAAAAAGTAAAAAAGAAAAAGAGTGCTCCAATTTAGTTACCTACTTCTTAGGTACAGGGGCAGTATCCGGCAGAGTGTTACCTCTGGAGAGTGGGAGAATGAAGTTAAGGCTGGACTTGACCCACAAGGACAGCTTCCCAAATCCAGTCTTAAAACAAAATAGTATTTTGTATAATTTTCTCACAAAAAGTAAAATACTTCATCATTATTCAAAAGTACCGCTTAGTCAAAATGCTTGGAATCAGAAATGTTTTGGATTTCTAGTTCTTTTTGGATTTTTGAATATTTGCATTATACTTAGCACCTTAAATCCCAAAATTCAAAATCTGAAATGCTCCGAAGAGCATCTCTTTTGCACTTCATGTCAATGCTCATAGAGTGTTGGATTTTGGAGCATTTCAGATTTCAGATTTTTGGATTTGGTATGCTCAACCTCTAGTGAGCTTTTACGATGGACCTCTACTAATTTGTAATTTGTTTAAGGCTATAAATTGAGCAGTAAGATTAGATTAGAAATCATTTATACAATAAAAAGTCTCATGCCAAGAAGTTTAAAAAGTGATGTAAGTAGTTTTAAGGATTCTCCCAAAGGTAAAGAAGGCTTTAGGCAGGTCTTACCCCCCTGGCTCTGCCCTTTGTGAGCTCTGTAAAGCTAGATGAAGCCCTCTTATCTAGTGTTTAATCCCAGTACTTTTTTTTTTTATTGAAGCAAAATATTTCTGATTGTGGCTTAAGCTACTTGTTTTTTCTCTTCAGGATTCTGTGGAAAATAAAGGAAACCATGCTTCATATTAACTGTGCCTCAAGAAGTCAGTTAGTCACTCTGTGCCTTAGTTTCTCTCTTTCCTTCAAGTGACTCAGGACATCGTTTTAATGTGAACTAGAGACATTTACACATGCCCATGTAACTTCATAGAAACAAATGAGAAAAGGTCACTGAAAGTACCCTGAAAATGACAAAGCAGTAGAGAAATGATTTAATCCTAGATCAAGGTCTACCAAGTTCAGCTACAGCAAGCCTCTGCCTTGGTTTTCTCATGTTTAAAATGCCATAACTTTTCATTGCAACTTTCTCTTTGTAAATGATTCCAATGTTTTAGTAAATAATGTGAAAATACATACTCCTGAAGAACTGTGAAATATCATACTCAACTACTTTACATGCCAAACAGATATCAAACTAAAAGCACCCATTACCCTCCGCAGGTATATCCCAGCTCTTGGAAAGTTATATCCTTAGTGAAAGGGAGAGAAACGGCGGTGCCAAGAAGCGTTTCCACGAACCCAACTGTCATGGAATACAGCTAGATACAAAAATACTGTATCTAGACATCTGATGATTGCTCATATCTTATTTTAAATCATCTTTGTGTTTACAGCATGAGAAAAATAATTCTTAAGGGTAATAAGAACATAAACAGAAAATTATTTTCACATACCAGTATAAATAATTAGCCAGTGTTGAGTTTTTGCAGGCTCTCGATATCAAGAAGGTACAGAGATCTTGCTGAAAGAATTAAAATAAATGTATTATACATCACCATCTACTATTAATGGGGGAAAATAAGTAAGTCTACATTTGCCTATCAGTTTTCATCCGTATATCTTATGTAACAGATCAGATTTTCTGCCATTTACCTACCCTTACATACACACATACAAAAATACTTTAAATCAGACAATATGCAAGTGGTTAGAATACTGCAGTTCAGAGAACTCCTTGTCCTCCTGGAGCTTCATATTGGTAGAGGAGAGAGACATTAAAAGAAATGGTCATAGAAATAATTTAGCTTGGGAGGTTAGAAAAGGCAGCAATGAAGACATGACATTCAGGCAAGACCAAAATGACACTAGAAGACTCTAAGTTTGGCTTGTTCAAGGAATTTTAAGTAATGTAAATAAAATACAGTGAACACTGAAAAGACTGAAAAGATAGGCAAAGGTCAAAGTATGTGAGACCTCTAAGGTCACGTTATTATTGAGTATGAATTTTATTTTAAAAGCAATGGATACCCAACAAAGGATCTTAAGAGGAGAGTGAGATGATGTGATTTACATTTTAGGAAAATGACTGGTTGTCCTGTGAAGTACAGACCTGAGATCAGTTAAGATGCTATTACGGTAGACTAGGAGAGTAAATAATGAGAGTGAAGATGGTGAAAAGCAGACAAATAAAAGAAATATCTTGGAATTATAATTAACAGGACCTGCTGGTGGAGAGGAATTAGGAAGGAAAGAAAGGAATTAATAGTAATTCCCAAATTTCTGGATTGATTTGTTATGGCACAAATGGAAATTTCAGACAAAAAGCTACCTATCTACAGAGCGAGAGGAAAGAGTTGTATTTTGAAATATTAAGTTCAAAATGCCTGTCAGATACACAATGGAGATCAAATACATGTTTGAATACAGGAATCTGAAACTCAGGTGAAAGATCTGAGCTAGAAATATAAATTTGAGTTTATGAATACAACCTAGGGCAGAGTATTGAGTGAGACTAGAAGAGGAGCCTGAGGAACATTAAGATGTCAGGCAGAGAGGAAAGTGCTGACAAAAGAAACTAAGAAGAAATGGCAAGAGAGATGAAGAGAAAAACAAGAGATACACAGTATCACCTAAACCATGAGAAGAGTTAGTTTTTCAAGAAGAAAATTATTTACTTTGTTGAATATTCTGAAGAAGCTGAAAAGAATGTACAACCAAAAACATTAGGGTTATTTGGTAACTTAGCAAATTAAGTTTTAAGCAAGAGCCAGAATGATATGGAGTAAAGACTGGAAAGAAGGAAGAAAAGAGTATGTATTAACAACTCCTGTGAGAAGAGAAGTAAGAAAACAAGGTGCTGTTTCAAGAGATGTGGTTTCAAGGGAGAGTTTTGTTTTTTCTGAACTTTTAACATGGAAAATTCTAACACATACTTGAGTATTTCTATCAGGAAAAGAAAATAACACATCTTTGAAGAGAGTTATGTTTCTTCTGTGTAAGAAAACAGAAGGAAAGTATGGGGGAGAAATTCATGTCTATAAAACCACTGATGGGAAAGAGACCATTCCTACCTAGAGGTTTCTATTGTTTCCATTAAGTATAAGGCAGAATTGTCATCTGGAGATTGGGAGGCGGGGCATGAGAACAGAGTGGAAATGGTATGAAAAATCACTGCAGGGCAGGAAGATCAACACGTCTAGGGACATGGAAGATGGCAGAGAGCAGTGAGTGCTCATGTGAGGTTTGTGATCATGAATTTATAGTGATACCAACATGCTATGCTATGTGTTTTTCTTCAGCAATATTCAGGCATGGCGAAAGTAGGTAATTAATGAGGCTTATCAAGAGCTGAGATGTTTGCCAGGGGAACTGCAGGTACTATTAAAAGAATAACTAAAATGACAGCCATGGGATAAAAGCTATGTTCAGAGAAAAGCAAACATTGAAGGGAGGTGATGAATAATGAAAAGGGTAGGGATCAACAGATTAGAACTTTTAATGCAGTAGGGGTCCTTTTGTAATTCCGAGTAATAAGAGGTTGTTATTACAAAACAGATGTGCCAATGCTTTCAGTAAGAATTTTATCTCCAGTTTTAAAGCTTAGGTATACATTTTAAATATGCACCAAAAATCCAATTTAAAAAACTCCTTAATCTGGAAGCCATTATATAAAGCTGAGTCCATGAGTTTAATAGGCAGACTATAGACCTAAAGTTCTCTTTTGACTATCTGGCAAGAACATTATACTTTTGTACAGTGATGTATATATTTTAATAGCAAACACATTTCATTTCATACTATGCCCTTTTGATTAAAAAATTACAGAACATAAAGAAAAGTTGAATTTTAAAAACTGTGAAGCAGGAAGTATGTATTGTAAATGTTAAAACTCAATTTGAGTAAGCAAGACTTTAAGATTTTAAAACAGTTTAAAGAAAAAAGTGCTTTATAAAAAAAGATCACAAGTTGTAAGTCACAGACATAAGAAAAAATGGTGAGGAAGGTGCAGGTATCCTTTAAGAAAAGTATCTCTAAGTATTTACTGAGTGTATACAATAATAACAATAATATTATCAAATCTGAAGGAAGTTAAATAACAAGACGGGGTGGGGTGGAGGGAGAAGGATTTAGCCAATGACAAGCAAGAATATATAATTTATATATACATAAGAAAGTATAGAAAGTACTACATAAGATAGTGAAATCAGTCAAAATACAGCTACAACCACAATACAAACAAATAGGGCAAAAGTTCCAGTTACAAAACAGAGTGTTAAACTAGATTAAAAAACAAAATTTAGCTACATGACATTTACAAGGGACCTAAATATAATAAACCTAAAACATAAGGCTACAAAAAAATTCAAAGGAAAAGATAAACAAAGACAACAAAAATATTGAGAAGAAAAGATCAACATGAACACTAATCAAGATAAAGCTCTATTAACATCAGACAAAACAGGCTTTAAGATGAAAAGCTTTATTAGGTATCAAGAGGGTTACCGAACAGTGATAAAAGATGCAATTTATGTATTTAATTGGAGAGCTTCACAATATTTAAAGCAAACACTAACAGAAATACAAGAAGAAATTAATAATTCTACCATCATACAGGGGAATTTTGCCCTAATTCTTTCACAGATAAAGCAGAAAGCAATGTTATGACAGAGTACAGATTTCAATAACACAATTCATAAGCTTGCTCTAGTAACTTATGTACAATGCTATACCCAACAGCTGGGAAATACACCTTCTTTTCAAGAACCCATGGAATTCATAAAATATGAGCAGATTCGGGGAATAATTGAGTTTCTGTCTCCTTTCAAACATGTGGCCAGACACGTATAATGTTCTCCTGAAACTCCAAGAATAAAACGAGGAAGGACATAAGACTCTGCTCAGGTATCAAAAAGGAGACAGGAATGTTGGTATCTCAAGTTGTGATAAGAGAGGTAATTCGGCTTGGTTGTGTATTAACCTAAAGGTGACCATGGCTTGTACAATACCCTCTATGGGAATAGGGGAAGTGATAGGGGAAGATAGAAATATCACTCAGAATGATTGTCACTCTTTTTCGGATACCTGAATCCTTTAAAAAACAATTCAGCTGACAAAAACTTAAATGGCTTAATCATTGAATAACAACAGATAGGTTCATCAGTCACAAGAGAAATATCAGAAATATATAAAAACTATCATTATTTTTAGCCTAAAATTTTTGAGCAATAGGTGAGTATAAATCAATATTCTGAACATAGTTTTCAGAATCTAATCGCTTCACAGCATCTAGAATGTAAATTATCCTTTGTTCAAGCTACCAACATGGAAAACTCATTCAGACTAATGGCCTACAAGCCCTACACAACTGATGGCCAGTTATCTCTTGAATCCAATCTTCTGCCAAGTTCTCTTTTGCTCACTCCTCGATAAACCAGGCACATTAGTTTCTGGTGTTCCTCAAACATACACACTTAAACTCTGGCCTTAGGACCTCCATACTTGCTACTCCCATTCTGAAATGCTCTTCCCCAGATAGCCATATGGTCGTTCCCTCACCTGCTTCACTTTTAGTGGGATGTTACCTTTTTAGTAACAAGTAACTTATAAGAGCTTTCTAGAACATAAGCTCTACGAAGGCAAACATTTAACTGTCTTGTTTTCTGCTGCATCAACCCCAGCATGCAGAACAGTTCCCTATATGTTAAGAGCTCAAAAAACATGTGAATGAATGAATGAATGAATGAATGAATGATTGAATTAATGAATCAGTATCTTAGCTTTGAAAGGGAAAACTTAACTGTAGCAGACTGGCTTCTTAAAGGGCTTCTCTAAGGATTCTATGATTCTGTGATTTAAAAATTCTTTCAGTTGAATATTTTGTTATACCGAGAGATATGCAAACATACAAACTTTAATCAATATCTAATAGTTAAAACATTCATTCAGTCATTATTTCCTAAAATCTGACTAAAAGCAATATATATACACACACTGAAAAATCACATGAACTTTTCTAATAATAAAACATGTGTTACTTGTTTTCAACATCAGAGATATTAATGATTTCTTTTAAATTAGAAGTCTTATAGACAAATTCAAAAACATGTACTACATCAGCTTCTACAATGCACTTTCCAAAGTGCATTGCAGATTAGCACTTTTCAGATGAGCACTAGTCTAACAGGCCTGTTTTATCTCAAAAATGTGTCTACTTATATGTATAGTTCAAAAGTTGCTTAGTGTATTATCTCTAATATCAAAGTCATACATTTCTACAATGTAATCACAAGCACTGACAACAATTACAGTGAGGTTCATAAATACATTGACAGTAAATATTCTAAGTTTCCCTAATAAAATATTTAAACCTGGTTTATTTTCATATTGCATATGAATCCATTTATATGCCCAAAGCACCAATAAAATGACTTGAATTGAGGACTATCTAGCACTTTCTGCTGAGGGGAAAAGTCATAAACATGCATCATAAAGTAAGTTATTTAATAAAGTTGTAATATTTAGTTATTTAACCAAAACTGAGATTTAAAGACAAGCATAAAATGTTTACACGGTAGGGTAGGATCTCTCCTACAGGAAGCTGGAAAAGCTTTGTACTCACTTCCAGATTTTCGCCATCTGGAACTTCTTTTGTTTTTGATGCAGGAGGTGGTGAAGAGACTGGAGGAAGGGAGCTGGTTATAATTTGGGAGCTGAAAAATAAAAGAGATCACCGAGATGTAAAATACTCTGTCCATAAGAGAAGACACACTTTTTTTTTTTTTTTTTTTTTAAGCACAGTTCACTTCAATTGTGTCTGGTTAATGCAACACTTCTTCAAGTGTGTTCTGTGCAACACTAGAGTCACACTGTACTCTGGAAAAAGCGCATGGTCAAAGATGATGGCTAATGCCTCTTGGGAGACTTAGGTGCAAATCTGCATATTAAAGGTTTGGGTAAGAGCTGTTTGTTTGTTTAAGCTCATTTGGCCTTAAACCAGCATTTCCCAAACATATCTGGCCAAGATCTCCTCTTTTTTTATCTTTTGTAAAACAAAATAAAGCTTAAAAAAAGAACTAAACACACACACACACACACACACACACACACACACACACACACACAATTAGTGACTAGTACACCATAAGTTGGAAAAGACTAGGTTACAGTTTTCACCCCATCATAAAACTCTGAATAGACTTTTACTTATAAAACATTCTACAGGGCATAAGGAAGAAAGTAAATGAGCAAGACTTAAGACTGAAGACCTCCAATATAGAGTGAGAGATAATATAAAGAGCATCTTTATATTAACAAAAAAATACAAAGTAGTCAGGGAAAGAAAAATTATTTGTCATCTTTTTTGGTTCTTCTCCAAATAAAACACACAACATAAAGCATAGCGTAACCATAATCATAAAGAAAAATTCAAAAATCCAATCTTGAGCTCATATAATAATTGAAATGACTGGACTTACTCAGGAAGCCTAAAATCTAGACCTGGTTTTGTCAATAACAAACCTCATGATCGTCACAAAACCATTTTCCATCACTAAGCCTAAGATTTTTCACCCAACAGTTACCACTTTTTTCAAATTTTAAGATTTTCTGAAAAGTAAAAAGTAGAAAAAAATGTGGGATTTGGAGTCAACTCTACCATTGGCAAGATACATAAGACTTTGGGCAATTTACTTCAAGTCCTTCATCTCTAAATTAGGGACATGAATACACACCTGGGAAGACAGTTGTAACAAGATAATGTGTGTGAACCACCTGCTGCAGACTGGGAACTCCTCATTTTTATACTGTCAATAGCTAACTTTTAAGTCAAATAATATGCTATTCTTTCCAGTATAACTACTAAAGAGGTGTAAACAGCTAATAAAAAATACAACTTTTTATTAAACTACTTGAGCTCACTCCTCAAATAGTGCTCCGTCCTGCCATTTCATCGATTTTTTTGTTTGTTTGTTTGAGACGGAGTCTTGCTCTGTTGCCCAGGCTGGAGTGCAATGGCGCAATCTCGGCTTGCTGCACCCTCCACCTCCCAGGTTTCACCATGTTGGCCAGGCTGTTTTTGAACTTCTAACCTCAAGTGATCCGCCCACCTCAGCCTCCCAAAGTGCTAGGATTACTGGCATAAGCCACTGCACCTGCCCCTGTCATTTCATTTTAACATAAATAAGTAATAGTAGCTAACACTGAGCACTATGTATTAGACAGTTTCCTCTGAGTGTTAATTCACTTAATGATTAAACAACCCTTAAAGATGAGTTACTATTGCTATCACCACTCTTAAGAAACTGGAGACACATAGAGAATATGTAATTTATATAAGTTTACACAGCTAGGAAGTGGCAGAGTCAAGATTTTAAGTCAGGTATTCAGACTTGATAGCCTGCAAAACACTATTTCCTAATATAGTAACTTGTGTGCTGTGAGTACACATGCAATATTCACTAGTAAAACTTCAAAATTAGTAATACTAGGGTGTGGTACATCTAAGGAAAGGAAAACAGAAAACAATTTGAAATGGGAAAAATTAACAAATTGGAAAATATGTTCTCCCTGGATAGCCATACCTATCTATTTCTGCAGAATTTATTCCAGAATTTGACAGATTTTCTGACACTGAACTCTGACTATCCTTCTTGGTAGGTTCCAATCCATTCTTTATATCATCAAAATTTTCGTATTTGAGAGCCTGGACCAATTGTAATAGGTACATCAACAAATCCTGGAAAACAAACAAAAAGTAAAGTAATATTAGGAAAAGAATGCAAAATGATTATAGACATTATTTATTCCTAAATATCAACTAAACATTTCACTTTTATCTATTACTTTTCAGCTGTATTACTTTTGACACGTCACCAAGTTACTTAACTTCCCTGTACCCCACAGCCCCTTCATCTTTAAAATTGACATCATAATATAAACTGTAGAGAAGAGCATGAGGGTTACATTAGTTAATAAAAGAAAGTCACAGAATAGTGTCCAGCACAGGCTAAGTGGCCAATAAATGATGTGTTTCAGGTAGTAGCTTCAAAAAAAAAAAAAAAAAAAGGTGGGAAGGATTCAAGATGCTTTGCATAAAATTAAGAAATTATAGCTGGTTGCAGTGGCTCACGCCTGTAATCCCAGCACTTTGGGAGGCCGAGGCGGGTGGATCACAAAGTCAGGAGATCGAGACCATCCTGGCTAACACAGTGAAACCCCGTCTCTACTAAAAATACAAAAAATTAGCCGGGCGTAGTGGCGGGTGCCTGTAGTCCCAGCTACTAGGGAGGCTGAGGCAGGAGAATGGCGTGAACCCAGTAGGCGGAGCTGGCAGTGAGCCAAGATTGCGCCACTGCACTCCATCCTGGGTAACAGAGCAAGACTCTGTCTCAAAAAAAAGAAAAAAGAAAAAAAGAAGAAATTATAGAAGGATCCTTTTTTCAGTAATAGATCAGAAGAGTGCATTCTATGTTTAATATTACACAAGAAATTCCAAATTTTCAAGTTTTCAAAGAACTTCTGTTTAATGTCTTTTTCTGGTTAAAATCTTTAAAACTCAAGTGTTTTCTTTTTTCCTGAAACATCATGTTTTAGAGAATCTGGATTGCTTCTTAAATGAAAGATGCTGTAAAACAAACATTTGATTAAGAGACATTTGATTAAGAGACATGCCAACTCCCAAGAGATTTGAACAAAACAAATTGCTAAGCCTAAATTCTTCATAAGTGACAACCAATGAGATAACCTGGACTAAAAAGGTGTCAGTCAACAAACTAGCTTTTACTTTACTGAGTTGTCCCTTAAAAATAACGATAGTAATAATAATAATAATAATAGTAAAACTCTTTAATGTTTAGGATGGAAATGCATCCAGTATTTCTCTATAAAGGTTGTCCTCTTCACAAGTATGTACTTTTTAAAATTTTACTTTTAAAAATAACTAAAAAGTGAAGAAAACCGCAAAACTCAAAAAATTTTTAAATGTATCTATTATCTTCCAATTCCAATTGTCATTCATCCTGTTAGACACTTGAAAGTCATAATTAGAAAATTTTGACTTCGGGACTACCAACTCAACTTCAGTCTCCTCTTTAAGCTCACAAAACAGGTTACGTCTCCTGCAAATATTTCATGGTCCACTTTTTCCTATTTGTAACACCTATAGCACTTGTAATAACTTACTCTTGGTTTTCCACTATTTTATAAACCAGGAGGACAGAGACCACCTGCCAGCAACCCGTATTTCCTTATTTAATACTACAGCCATAACTCATTTTATTGTACCTTGCACACATTGCTTTTTTTTTTTTTTTTTACAGAATAAGTTTTGTGGCAACCCTCCACCCAAGCAAGTCTATTGGCATCATTTTTCCAACAGCATACTTTCACTCCCTGTCTTTGTGTCACATTCTAGTTATTCACATAATATTTCAAACTTTTTCATCATTATTTTATCTGTTACGGTGATCTGTGATCAGTGATCTTTGATGTTACCATTGTAATCAGGGGTGCCACACACCATACCAAATAGGATGGCACAGTTAATTAATCTTGAATGTGTTCTGCCTAATCCACCAACCAGCCGTTTCCCTGTCTCTCTCTCTCTCCTAGGGCTTGCCTGTTCCGAGACACAGTAATACTGCAATGAGGTCAATTAATAAACCTACAACGCACTCTAAGTGTTCAAGTAAAAGGAAAAGATGCATGTCTCTTACTTTAAATCAAAAGCTAGAAATGATTAAGCTTAGTGAAGAAGGCACAGGAAAAGCCAAGATAGGTTACAAGCTAAGTCTCTTGTACCGAACAGCCAAGGTATGAATGCAAAGGAAAAGTTCTTGAAGTATACTGAAAATGCTATTCCAGGGAACCACAAATGAAAACAAAGCAAAACAGCCTTATTGCTGATAGAGAAGTTTTAGTGGCCTGGGTAGATGAGACTACCCACGACATTCCCATGAACGAAAGCCCAATCCAGAGCAAGGCCCTAACTCTCTCCATTTCTATAAAAGCTGAGAAAGGAGAGGAAGTTGCAAGAGAAAAATCTGAAGTTAGAAGAGGTTTGTTCATGAGATTTAAGGACAGAAGTCATTTCCATAACATGAAAGTACAAAGCGAAGCAGCAAGTACTGATGGAGAAACTGCAACAAGTTATTGATGCAGGTGACTATACTAAACAACAAAGTTTCAGTGCAGATGAAACAGCCTTGTTTTAGAATAAGATGCCATCTAAGATTCTCACAGCCACAGGTTGAATCTCTTGGTAAGGGTCTAATGTAGATTGTGACTTTAAGTTGAAGCCACTGCTCATTCACCATTTCAGAAGTCCTAGGGCCCTTAAGAATTACGCTACATCTCCATTGCCTGTGCTCTATAAACGGAAGAACAAAGCCTGGATGACACCACATCTGTTTAGAGCATGGCTTATGAATATTTAAGCCCACTGTTAAGACTCATTGTTCAGAAAAGAAGATTCCTTTCAAAATATTACTGCTCATAGACAAGGTACCTGGTCACCTAAGAGCTCCGATGGAGATGCAGAAGAAGTTGAAAGTTGTTTACAATCCTGCTATCACAACATCCATTCTACTGCCCATAAAATCAAGGAGTCACTTCGACTTTCAAGTCATATTACTTAAGAAGCATATTTTGTAAGGTCATATCTTCCATAGACAGTGATTCCTCTCATGGATCTGGGCAAAATAAACTGAAAATCTTCTGGAAAGGATTCGCCATTCTAGATGTCATTAAGAACATTTCAGCTTTACGGGGAAGGTCAAAATAGCAATATTAACAGGAGTTTGGAAGACGTTGATTCTAACTTTCATGGATAACTTTGAGGGGCTGAAGACTTCAGTGCCTATAATCCCAGCACTTTGGAAGGCCGAGGTGGGTGGATCACCTGAAGTCAGGAGTTCAAGGCCAGCCTGGCTAACATGGCGAAACCCTGTCTCTTACTAAGAATTAGGCGGGTGCAGTGGCACACACCTGTAATCTCAGCTACTCGGGAGGCTGAGGCAGGAGAATCGCTTGAACCCTGGAGGCGGAGGTTGCAGTAAGCCAAGATCATGCCACTGCACTCCAGGCTGGGTGACAGAGGGAAGACTCCGTCTCAACAACAACAACAAAGACTTCAGTGGAGGAAGTAAATGCAGAAGTAACAGAAACAGCAAAAAAAAAAAAAAAAAAAAACTAGAATTAGAGGTGCAGCCTGAACATGTGACTGAATTGCTGCAATCTCATGCTAAAACTTGAACAGATGAAGAGTTGCTTCTTATGGATAAGCAGCAAAGAGTAGTTTCTTGAGATGCGATCTATGCTTGGTGAAGATGCAGTGAACATTGTTGAAATGACAACAAAAGATTCAAAATACTCCATAAACGTAGTTGTTAAAGCAGTGGCAGTATTTGAGAGGACTGACTTCAATTTTGAAAGAAGTTCTACTGTGGACAAAATAATAGCAAGCAGCACCGTACGCTGCAGACAAATCTTTTGTGGAAAAAAAAAAGAGTCAATGGGTGTGGCAAAGTTTACGTTTGTTTTATTTTAGGAAACTGCCACAGCTACCCCAACCTTTTGCAACCATCACCCTGATCATTCAGTGGTCATAAACATCAAGGCAAAACCCTTGACTACCAAAAAGACTACAACTTGCTAAAGGCTCAGATGATTGTTAAAATTTTTTACCAACATTTTAAAATAAGATATGTACATTGTTTTTCTAGACATAATGCTATTACATAGACTATAGTATAATATAATTTACTATATAAACATACAGCAAAGTTATATGTCTAAATTTTACATGTACTAGGAAACCAAAAAGTTCATGAGACTCACTTTATTGTGATATTTGCTTTACTGCAGAGGTCTGGACCAAACCCGCAATATCTCTGAGGTATGACTGTATATTTCTCTTTTGTTCAGAATTTGTATCTCACACCAAATAATTTTTAAAAAGGTCATTAGGCAAACACTAACAAAGAGTAATACATACGACTTCATCATCAATATAAATTAAATGAAAGATTATGTGGCTTATTCTTATTCAAATATGTTAACGTCAGGAGTCAGGGAAATCAAGTCTCTCTACAGTGTTGTTTCTAAAACCCACTTTTTAATTGGAGCAATAAACATCTGATTTTCTATTATCATAGTTGAGATTCATGGCATCCAATAACTATACATAGAATTACATGTTGTTTCCTAAGGAAAAAAACATTATGTAACAAAATTAAACAATATATTTAATGACAGGTATCCTTCTTTGGAGGTACCAGTAATTCAGTTTCACTGCCAGCCTTCATTCCGAATGCTGCTGGATCCATTGCCTGTGTGCCTTCCTAATTACAGAAAGGAGTTAACCATATAAAATAAAAAAGGCTGCAGTATTAAATTCCCCAGGAAGGGGAAATTCAGTAGAAAACTTTTCTAAGTCACTTATCATCATCTGATTTCTTCATTTCATATTCTATATTCAAACTATACTTTCCTTCATTTGTATGAAAATGAATTAACTTCAATAGTAAGTAGAGTCTGTTTTCTCATTATATAGTCACATCTTGAAAAATATAATAAAAGTCCTCCAAGCATGAAGGACATAAGCATTGGAGTAAAACAAGGCAAAAAAAAAAAAAAAAAAAAATCAGGCTTCCATCTCAGGCAATTCTATAAATATTTCCCAAGAGCTATGAAATTTTTCTAGATAGTGATCACCATTTTTCTCCAGAGTAAGTTAATTCTAATGCTTCAAAGTGCAAATGTGAAGTCCCATATCAAAATCACTCAGTGACTCCCCATTTCTTACTGAATTAAGAATAACTCTCCATAGAGGCATTTTCAGTTAGAGACATGGGTTCTGATTTTGCCTCTCAATTGGTACATATATCCTACACTCCTGTGGAAGTGACATACTTTCCATTCTTCCTGTACTTTCAATTCCCTTGCTCTTGCTCGCATTGCTTTCTCTACCTGGAATATAAACTCCAAACGTAAAAATTCTACATTTCCTTCAACTCAAATGCCACTTCTTCATTACATTCTAATATGGAATCTCTCTCCTTTTGAACTACACAGCAGTAAGAAACATGATTTAAAAATTTCAAAATAATGCAAGATAAAGAATAGTCATTAAAAAAATCCTACATAAGATATTAACAAATCAAATTCAGACAGGTATTGAGATTTATTTTACAAGTGTATGGCTGATATAACATTAAGAAATGTATCAGCATACTTACAGTAGATTGATAAAAATGAAAGACTATATGATATGAACAAGCGTCAAGAGTGTTTGATAATATATAGAAGCCATTCTTTTGTTGATAATATATAGAAGCCATTCTTTTTTTTTTTTTTTGAGACGGAGTCTCGCTCTGTCACCCAGGCTGGAGTGCTGTGGCGCCATCTCGGCTCACTGCAAGCTCCGCCTCCCGAGTTCACGCCATTCTCCTGCCTCAGCCTCTGGAGTAGCTGGGACTACAGGCGCCCACCACCACGCCCGGCTAATTTTCTTGTATTTGTAGTAGAGACGGGGTTTCACTGTGTTAGCCAGGATGGTCTCGATCTCCTAACGTCGTGATCCGCCCGCCTCGGCCTCCCAAAGTGCTGGGATTACAGGCTTGAGCCACCGCGCCCGGCCAGAAGCCATTCTTGATTTAAACACAAAGAAAAAGAAAAGAACAAACAGAGACAGGGAGAAACTTTAAACATAAATGAGAGCATTTGACTGAAACCAGTAAGTAACACACATTAGAGTGAAATACTAAAAGCATGCCCATAATGAGTAACAAGACAAAGATGAATATTGAACTACTTTTATTCACCATTATTACTTGCAGCTTTCAGCTAATGCAATGAAAAAATACACTGCTTTTCAGCTAGCATAATGCTATGCCTAGAAAATATAAGAAGCAACCGAACATCTACATCTATTAGAATAAGAAAAATCAATAAAGTGACGAGATAAAACAAATATTGTAACAGAAACAGTTTCTTTTTTAACTAAGAAATGTAAATAAAAGATAAATGGGGTGGGGTAGTATATAATAGTAACAATAATATAATTGCCAGAGAATAAATCAAAATTATAAGAATGTATATGATTGTAATAAAACTGATGTGCGTGAATAAAAAATCATATGCCACTGTGATGGAAGATATAATGTCATAAAGGTATCAATTTTTTATAATATGCAAGCATAATGTAGTTCTACTTAAGATTCTGGTGCAGTTTTAAGAAAATGATAAAATTATTCTAAAATTCATGGAAAGAACAAATGTAAAAAAATTATAAATAAAATTGTTTAAAAAGGAAGGAGGAAAAGATTTGTCTAGTCACATATTTAAAGTATTATAAAGGAACTCATTTTTTAAAAGCATAACACAAGGGCAAAAAGAGAAGACTTACAGGGATTGTCTGCAAAATGTAAAAAGCAGGTATCTTTTGGCTCAATAATTCTAATGCAAGCAATTTATTCAAGAATATGATTTTTAAGGCCTGGCGCGGTGGCTCACGCCTGTAATCCCAGCACTTTGGGAGGCCGAGGGGGCTGGATCACGAGGTCAGGAGATTGATACAATCCTGGCTAACACAGTGAAAACCCGTCTCTACTAAAAAGAAAATACAAAAACGTAGCCGGGCATGGCAGCGGGACCTGTAGTCCCAGCTACTTGGGAGGCTGAGGCCGTAGAATGGCGTGAACCTGGGAGGCGGAGCTTTCAGTGAGCCGAGATCACGTCACTGCACTCCAGCCTGGGAGACACAGTGAAGACTCTGTCTCAAAAAAACAAACAAACAAACAAAAAAAACCAAAAGAATATGACTTTTAAAACATACCCACCTACCCTCCCTCACACACCTGTTCACTAAACTATAGTGACAGGAAAAGAATGGGAACAACAGACTATAAAAGAGGCCCAATGGTTAAGTAAATTAACACAAAAATTCATAGTAAAATATCAATATTCTTTCTAAAATATCTATTTAGGAAGAATAAGGCAGATCTACAATGACAGAGTTCAGAACATGCTAAAATAAAAAGGACAAAATATAGCACGCTGGCATTTATATTTTGTTATTCCTAACAAGCCCCTTTCAACCACACCTGCGTTTATGTTAATGAGGTAACTTCTGGAAATCCCCTAAAGATGGGGGCTGACTGAGAGAAAAGCCAGCCATATGATTAGAGGGTGGGACTTTAAGCTCCACCCCCTCAACCTCTGGGGAACAGAGAACTGAAGACTGACTTAATCACCAACAGCCAATGATTTAATCAATCGTGCCAATGTAATGAAGCTTTCACAAAAACTCAAAAGCACAGCATTCTGAGAGCTTTCGGGTTGGTGAAGAAGAATGCACCCACGTGCAAGGAGGGTGCTATACTGCAAACTCCATGGGGACAGAAGCTCCTGTACTCAGGACCTCATCCTATGTGTCATTTCAACTAGCTGTTCATCTGTATCCTTTAGGATACGCTTCATAATAAATCAATACTAGTAAGTAATGTTTCCCTGACTTTTGTGAGTCATTCTGGCCAATTATCACACCCAAGGAGAGGGTTGTGGGAGCCCCCTCATTTGCTAAAGCCAGTAGGCCAGAAGTCAGAAAGATGTAATCTAGTAGAGGTTAGGGGGTTGGGGTGGAGAGAGTAAGCAGTGTTACAGATGAAACAAGATTGGTTATAAGTTGGCAGCTGCTGAAGATAGATGAATTGTATGTCACGGTTCATTATACTATTTACTTTAGTGTTTAAATTTCACCATAATTAAATACACGCATACAATTATCAACTTTAGTATTTCATTTGCTTCTTGAAATTCAGATGCCACTAATTCAAAATGATCTCACTGTCCCCTCCCTCTTAAAAAGGTATTTGATAATAGTTGTTCTATGCAATCAACATTGCTCTATATATATATATATATATAGAGAGAGAGAGAGAGAGAGAGAGAGAGAGAGAGAAGTTTGATAAGTTACTCCACATCCCATAAAGTACTGCTGGCTAGCATAAACGTTAGGTTACGTTTAAGAACATATTCACCCTATAAAAATTAAGAAAACAAATGCTGGATTAGTCCATCTCATAAAGAATTATTAAAGGCCAAAATCCAGCAATGCTTTTGTCAAAAAAAAAGTGTTCCTCCTTCCCTGATGGCCTTAGAAGTACAGCCATGTGCCACATCACAATGCTTCAGCCAAGAGAGGACCACATATATGATAGTAATCCCATTAGATTATAATACTGTGTTTTTACTGTACCTTTTCTATGTTTAGATACACAAATACTTAGCATTGCATTACAACTGCCTAAGCTATTTAGTATGACAACATGCTGTACAGGTTTGTAACCTAGGAGTACATAGCCTCAGTGTGTAGTAGGCTTTACCATCTAGGTTTGGGTAAGTATACTCTATGATGTCTGCACAAAGATGAAATCCCCTGAGGACACATTTCTCAGAACACTTTCCTGTCATTAACTGATGTATAACTGTATACATAAATAGCCAGCATATAGTTGGCAATCTTTGCTTTCCAAGGATTCAAAACTACCTTCAGAAAATTTACATATACATATCATTGTCATCAGCTGAAAATTTAAAAGGCGAGTTTGAAGGAGAGGAAGATGACCACGCATCTCTATGCTTTCAAGGCCCCAAGGGCTTTTCAAGGCTACAATTAAAATGTGGCTTGTTGTATACTGACTGATAGAGGAGATCTGAATTATTCCCTAGCTGGTGCTGCATTAAACCATTTTTCACTAGAATTCCTTCTTCCAGACAGAGCAATACAAGCTCTGCTGCCAGGTAAATGTCCTGGGAGAGACTGTTCTATCACGTAACAGATCAGGAAGTAAATTTTCATTTCACAGAGGAGTCCTTTGAGGCATATTTTAATTTTCCTTCTGAAAACACACCTAGTATATCCTCTTCCCTTCTAAAAATCTCTCTTGCGTGTGCGCACTCTCTCTCACTCACACATACACACATAGTCTATAATTAGGCTCTAGTTTAAAATGACCCATTGAAGTGGAATAATAAATAATGCACCTCATCATCGGCCTGTCGCAACCGGGCAACAGCATAACGCCTCACTGTTGGGTTGGTGTAATGAGAGGATAACAGCTCCAAGGAGTCCTCTACATCCATCGGCTTCCATTTTCCCAGAAGTTCCAAGGCCTGTTTGGCCTCTTGAGGTAGATCCCAATTAACACATTTCAAGAACTTTGTCAAGGCCTAAAATCAGAAAATATTTAAAAATTAGAAATAGCCTATTTCCTGGGATAGAGAAGGTGACTAGGCAGAGTTCCACTTGGTCCTAATGACAGAGCCACGGAGTCAGTGGTAGACTCCTTGTGTAAACACTAAATGAAGTTATACATACGATCTTTTTTTTTTTTTTTTATACTTTAAGTTCTAGGGTACATGTGGATAACGTGCAGGTTTGTTACATATGTATACCTGTGCCACATTGGCGTGCTGCACCCATCAACTCGTCAGCACCCATCAACTCGTCATTTACATCAGGTATACATACGATCTTACAGAAGCACTGCAGGACAGAAAAAAAGCATGCTCCCTGTATCTTTAGATTTTCCAGGCCAAATCATTTGCAAGCACTATGAATTTTTAAATTTGTTTTGGTTTTTCTTCATTTTGTTATTGTTATTTTAAAATACTGCAGGTCTCAAGACATGGAAATAGCTGAGGCATTTCTCACAAACTCTAAGATGCCTTAGAGAAAACCTACATTTTACAATAGAAAATACTGCAACCACTGAATGAAAGGGCCAGAAGCCATTCTAGGGCAGAAATTCCCACCACTAGCTTCACTCTCGACCACCTCCCTAGAGTATGACCACTGGCTTTCACAGATACTTAAACATGAAGACTCAAACAATGTGGAGTATGTAGGTATCTCTGTGAAGTAACTACGTTAAAAGATAGGCAATCCAACAAAACCTCAAAGCACAAGCATAAAAATGGGTAAGTACAGAAACCAGAAACAGCAGCAAACAGTCTATGATTCATCTGGTTGTACATCTTTCTGGAACCTCACTCCTTTGACTAGGCAGCACATGGAAGTTTTCACAAGACTGTCAGTTAAGCCAATAGTCTTGGAGTATATCACTCATTGCACAGTAAGTGCTCTTTTAAGAAAGGTACACACTTCTTGGCCAGGTGTGGTGGCTCATGCCTGTAATTCCAGCACTTTGAGATACCCAGGCAGGAGAACTGCTTGAGGCCAGGAATTCAAGACCAGCCTGGGCAACATAGCAAGACCCCATCTCTACAAAAATAAATGAAAATAAAGAAAAGCATATACTTGCTTTCCATAAAAAGCAACGTTTATTGCTGGGTCTCAAAGGCAACACTTTCCTGGCTGAACCCAAGATGTTTTCCTCTTCTTTGTCTTCCTCTGTTGCTATTTGTTGAAAAATAGGTAACCTGAAAATGTAAGACTCCTGCTCTGCCCAACCAAAATCTTTTTATTAGTAAACTAATCAATTTCTCAAGAAAATGTCTACCTGGACAACAAAACACAATGTCTGTTAGTATGGCACTAAATGAACCTTCATAGCCATCCCCTAACTTATTCTTGATTTTACTAAATTAAGAAAAAAGGCCTATGGAGATTGTCTAGTTCAATGTTTAAATCGTATATAACCTCAGCAAAGATAAATGGCTTGTTCATCACCTCAAAATGGTGCATGAGCTAGACGTAGAACCCAGGTCCACCAATTCTCAGCCCCACACTTCTTCCAGCAGATGGTGCTTTGTTACCATTAAGGCGCTCCATCCCCTAGTTAGCCCCATTCCTCCTGGAGCCATTACTCTGCCAACACTAATCTCCTGAATCTATTCCAGTCCCTTTCAATTATTTCCTAGCAATATCTCCTATATCTGTCCTCAGCCTGATTTCTCATTATATCACACATCTGGAGTTGGACAGAACCCTCTAGCTAAGAACCTAAATACCGGTTTCTCTTCTAATCATCTCATACATACTCTTAGAGAAGCTCAAGTTGGAAGTGATCTTAGCACAAATTTCCTATTGTTAGCAGAAATACCCCACAACACGAATGCCAAAAAGAGACCCAATATTTACTTAAGCGACTCGAGGAACTAATTTCCAAAATAGCCATTATATTTATAGAAAGCTAAGCCAGTTTTGTTTTGTTTTGATTTTAACTATAATGAATGAAAAGACAAAAATGTCTTCATATTGCTTTTTCCAATTTGTTAGTTTCATTCTTTGGAGAGAATGAGAGTAAACTGAGCTCCATATGATGTGGACAACCTTTCCAATATTTGAAAAGTTAACAATATTGTTACAAAGTGGTTTTGACTAGATGATAGGACACTCTAGTTTGTAAATAAACAAATAAATAACCTTGGCTTCTTTCTCAAAACATTTCATTGCCACCACTTACCACAATGCAAATCTGTTTCATTAAACTCTCATTGCCCTTCCATGCTTCAGCCCAGTTAACTTATATGAACAATGTCTCTCTAACCCCTGTAACTCTTCATCAAAATAGGGTATCATCTACTCTACAGCCGTCTTGTCCAAAACTCAAGTTTTACAGGAAGTTTTCAGCAACTTTCAGCTATTCCTTTAGAAGCTGGCTCAATTTTACTACTGTCATTTAAATGATATTCTTCTAACTGCCAAAGTTTTTGTGGGCATTTTTATCTCTATAGCTGGAGTCTGTATTCCCCCAAGGACAGCTGTCCATTTCCTCTACACCTCCTGCACACCATTTAGTATAATGCTCCCTTTCCGTATAGAACACAGATTGCCCTACTAACTTATTCCATGAATTTATTTTCCACTTCTAAAATGTATTTCTAGGTTGAATGTGGAAACAAAGCAATACTTCTTAAATAATGACAGTGAAAGCTTTTCCATTTCACAGTACATCAGCAGTCTTAATAGAAATGTGCGGCTATGTACTTATTATAAGCAAATCTTGTAGCATGCCGATGTACTCAATTCAATAACTGAAACAATCTAAAACCTAGATTCTCCGATTTATAGACTTATTAGCAAGATTTATGGAGTATGCTGCCGCCAAAGAACATAAGGCACTGTACAAAGAATTTCACAACTTTTTAATGTTAAACGTTACAAATGTAAACAGGGAGCCAATAGAATGAAGAAGAAAACAAGGGGTCAAAGAATAAGAAAGACAAAAAGTAAGAATTTGAAGACAGCAACAATAATGGCCTTTTTAAATAACCCTAGGTCTTTTAAAGATGCTTTACTGATGCATGCAGGATTAAAGAGCAATTCTCTCTCTGTCTGGAACTTCCATAGATTACTGGAGAGCACAGACTGTAGAGCCAGGGTGTTTGGGTTCCAATGATAATTCCTGGCTCCATCAATTATTACCTGATTAAACTGAAGCACACTATTTAACTTTCAAGAGACCTTTCTCATAGGCTTGCTGTGAAGATTAAGTTAATGAATATAAAATGTTTGTGACAGTATCCTATATATAGAGTAAATAATTAGTTTATTATCAGTCATTATTTTTATTCTATTTCTGATGTTGACATCAAATTTTAGCTTTACTATATGTATTACTATGTTTTATTCCCTTTGATCTGAAAATCACCTGTTATCGCCTATTCTTAGAATCATAATCACCTCAGAACTGAAAATACTATATCTCGTATATATATTTCTAATTTAAACTTCTACCAATTAAATTCTTAGAAATTTCTATTTTGCTGCTTTTCCAATGCTTTTGATTCCAAATACTCAAACATGAAAACACCTCATTCTTTTCTTCCCACCTGCCATATATCCTTATTGATATGGTGTGGCTGTGTCCCCACCCAAATCTCATCTTCAGTTCCCACATGTTGTGAGAGAGACCTGAAGGGAGGTAATTGAATCATAGGGGCAGGTCTTTCTCATGCTGTTCTCATGATAGTGAATAAGTCTCATGAGATCTGATGGCTATATAAGGGGGAGTTTCCTTCCACAAGCTCTCTTTGCTTGCTGCCATCCACATAAGACATGACTTGCTCCTCTGCCTTCCATCACGATTGTGAGGCCTCTCCAGTCACATGAAATTGTAAGTCCATTAAAACTCTTTTTCTTCCCAGGCTCAGGTATCTCTTTATCAGCAGTGTGAAAACGGACTAATACAATAAATTGGTACCAGAAGTGGGGTATGAACGCACAACGATACAAATCCATCAGGTTCAGGCCTAACCCCTGATCATTTTCTACGAGTCAACTTACTTGTATAGCTCCTTCTCCATCCCTTGCCCTCCAAAACTGTTCTCTCAGTCAGTATATGAGCCTCCTAATTATGTCACTTTTTTCATTTTCTGCTCTCCTCCAATCTACCCTAGTTTGTACTCCTTAAAATATCACTTGTTAGGCTAGTGTGCTGACTCACATCTGTAATCCCAGCACTTTGGGAGGCCGAGGCAGGTTGATCACCTGAGGTCAAGACCAGGCTGACCAACATGGTGAAACCCCATCTCTACTAAAAAGACAAAATTAACCGGTGTGGTGGTACATGCCTGTAATCCCAGCTACTTGGGAGGCTGAGGCAAGAGAATCACCTGAACCTGGGAGCGGGAGGTTGCAGTGAGCTGAAATCGCATCATTGCACTCCAGCCTGGGCAACAAGAGTGAAACTCTGTCTCCAAAGAAAAAAAAAAGAGAGAAATAAACTATCACTTGTTAATACACATTTTCCTGCTTTAGTAGCTTCCTGTTGCCAGTAAAATTGAATTCCTAAGGGTATAATTTGAGGCTTATCACAATCTGATGCCATCTTTTCTATTTCATAACCATTCACGCAAAACTCTGTCTCCTGAACCTAACAGCCTACCTTACTCATGTTTTCCTTCCCCATAAAAAAATGATCACCAAGTAAAAAATGCTATCAAAGTCTGCTCACACTTTAAGGGCAATCTTTGTTCTGTGAAACCTTCCTCATATCATAGCACACTGATCTTGTTATCCTCCACACTTCTATTATATTAATAACCTATATATTTATTAAGACAGTGACCCTTAATCAATTACTATGTTATACTTCCTAATTTTAATTATGTGTAAATATTCTTACCCCAAAACAGTTTTAATTTATTTGAATACAAGGACATGATACCTGAAACCTCATAGTCTTATATAATGCTAGGTCAAGAGGTGATAATAAATACTTGCTGAACTGAATTCATTTATCCCATGAGTCACCATCAACCTCTTGTCAGGAGACACAAATATGATAACTGTCCTCATGTCACTGTCTCAGAAACAGCCTTATAAGAATACTCAGTGCATCACTATTACCTTCACTATATGTGACTCTTTCAACTGCTTTTTTCCCCCAAGCATAATCAAAAGGCATGGAATTAATTTAAATTAGTATTTTTATAAGAGGAAAGTCCATTGTAAAAGCTATTAGGTTGGTGCAAAAGTAATTGCAGTTTTTGTCAAATAGTTTTGAAAAATTACAATATTCACATTTCAGGTTCCACAGAAATGAGTCACTTCCTATATGCTATAAACTACGAATTGGAAAATACTTTATAAATTTAAATGGTAACAAATTTAATTGAACAAAGTTATTACTATGAACTTTCTGGGTACAACATCAAGTCCTGACTAGAAGGTTTTCATCTGAAATACTTAAGACAGGTCATTAAGAAAAAAAATAAAAAAGGGCAGAAAGACAAAATTTAATTAAAAAATAAAAAGTATAACTTTGTAAGAACCAATTTCCACCAATGTGTTTTCTGAGCACTGCCTTCTCTCTAGGAAAGCTTTTCAGCCCCAGGGCCCAAATGTCAAGTAACCAAAATCACAATTTCTGAGACTCTGATGCTAAAAGAATTTCTTTCTGTAAATAAATTAATGGATAGAGTATGAGAGTATCCGTTTTTCACAAAATCCATTTGAAATTATTACAAGGTTACAAATGTGGCTGTGTGAATAATTCCTTTGGTCACTTCAAGGCCTATATATATTTGGTTTACTCCAAAGTGACTTCTGAACACTAAAACATATTGTTCACTCTACTCTAGTGGTCGTAAGAATCCTATAATATGTCCTGAGAATTGAAGTTTCATCACTCACCTTTCGAAAACTTGAAATCAACTAGTTAGATGAAACTTGTCACACACTTTATATCACTTGAACATTTTATTTCTTTTGCACATATATAGAAGTAATTGAATTTCGGTGGGAAGTGACTACTTGTTCAAACAAATAATTTTTCTTGCAAACCTTTCTATCTAAAAAAGTTCTGCTCTGTAAATCTACTCCTATATGCGTCTTAAACCTATACATTCTAACAGGTTCAATTCAATATCTAGCTGTGTATTTTAGATGACACTGAGCTGCATTCAAGATGCAATTTCTGTGACCAAGGTTATTCTTCATTTAACACAGTATCATGACAATAACTCAATCTTTTAATAAAACACAAATCACAAACCTGTGTTTCTGTTGGTATTTCCTTTTGTTCAGCAATTAAGAGAATCATACTCAAAGCTACAGTAAATTAAAAATTATTCTCTCATTCTTATTATGGATATAAAGAAGAACAAATGTGATTCATTTACAAAGAACTTCTGAAGGCATCAATAAATGACAAAGCAGAAAAGCTGAAGAGTTAAGATGAGCTGCAACTGCATTTTTATCTTTACTTTAGAAACTAAAGAAAGGACATTTGGTTCCGAAAAACAACTTAAAATAGTAGTTAAAGACCATATCACAAGATTATAAAACATACCAATTCATTCATTCTCATAGAAATACGTAACAGCTTCCTGAACAGATATGAATTTCCCTAATGCTTCTCTGCTCTTCCCCTAATGCATTTCAGGGTTCCTGCTAAGGCATGTGCATGATGTTGAAAATGTTTTCTCTATAATTCTCTTTTCTATGTCTTCACTGACTTTCTTTTCTTCTAATTCGTAGATGCAAGCATATTAAGAGGCTGCATGTATAAGCTTTGTGAGTCTACATAGGCCCCCTAATCTTTCTCAGGCTCAAGTTTCCTCATCTGTAGAACAGTTACAGTAATACATACATTGTGGGGTTGTTATGGGATTTAAAGAATTCCTGGTACATAGTATCTGCTTAAAAAATGCTGGCTATTATTATGATACCTTAAGAGGTACCCCTTGGCTCTCTGTTTTAAGATTTTACAGACTATTCTAAAAACTAGGAGACAAAGTTCACAATCACATGATTGTCTTACATTAAATATGAGGAAACTAAAGCTTATTCAGGCAAAGTAATTTGCCTGTAGTCAAAAAGCTTCTTGGGGGCAATAGTAAAACTCAAAACTAAGTGTCCAAAGACTTCAGGTTAGTGATGACTACTTCCCCACAATTCTCTCTCCAGAAACCTTATCCACTCCATGGTTTTATTACAGGAAGCAAATGTCTAGCTTTGACCTACCCGTTATCCTGTATGCCTACCTCTATGCTACTCCACCAACTGAATTCCCACAACTCAAATTATATTTCTCATACTCTCTCTCTAGCCACATCTCATCTAGAATTCTGTAGTTTCATTACTATAATAGCATACATATTTTCCTAGTCACCCAGGTTCAAAGAGGTAAGAAGAAGAGAACCAGCATTTACTCTGCACCTACTATGCATCAGATACTCTACCAGGTTACTTACCTGTATTATCTTACTTGTGAGAGAGAACTGTCTCCACTAGAATAATAAGGACACTAAGCTGCCAAAGTAAGTTGCCTCATCCTACCAAACAAGCGTTAAGATATACTTCTGGAAAATGAACCCAAGTCTCTCTGACTTCAAAACCCATTCAGACATTGCCTATGAGTCAACAAACAGGTACATGTGTCTTTGTATGCCGACTTTTATAATCTTTTTAAAAAATGAAGTATCATATACACTGCTCTGTAACTTTAAAGTGACAATAATGATTTCCATGGCATTCTCCTCATTTTGATCATTAATAACAAAGTTGGTAGATAAATTTGATATATGAAAGTATTTAAGACACTCACTTTTTCTTGATTTGTAAGATAATATCTAAACTTCCAAACAAGATCTTGTTCTTCATATGTAAGTTGTTTGGTTGGTGGATAACTCACAATAATCTAAAACAGAAAAAGAAAAAGAACTAATTTTGTCAACCATACATGTCCTATATATTTCCATTTCACTTAATATTTTTCATTTATTTAAATAATTCTATACTACAATTATTATACAAACAAGGAAAATGTAAACACAGTCAAGTAGGCCTTAAATTTGCTATAATTATGTGTCCAAAATGCAGTTTAAAGGAGACGAACAGAAGGTCATATTCCATAGGTAAATATTTAACTGGAGAGTTCATTTAATTCAACCAGAAACAAAACATAGCAAAATAACAATGTCCCCTACCAGAAAAAGGAAAAATGTGCACACAATAAATTCTTTTAAAGTCAATGCATACAACAAGGCATGTGTACACACTAAGTCCTCTCTCAGGCAATGTCTTAGGGCCAGCTTCTAAGAATACTATCTATTGACATGAAAGAATATAGTATTTGCAGTTCTGTCTCCAGAGATAATAAATTTATAGAAAGCCCCAAATGATAACAGAACTGCTGATCTGTGAAATTATGAACATGATGCAGGATTCATCAACCTGGAGAAAATGTGCATCTAAATAATTTTTAAGTGAGGTGATAGCTATCAGCTTCAACTAAAACATCCGTTTAACTATTTTTAAATTAACATTGCATAATTCTCTTACATTTAACTGATCTCTTGTGGCAGCATTGGGTTTGAGATCATGGTCAGAAGGTCCACTTCTTAAACTCCGGGCAAGCTTGTGGTGTTTGCTCTCCACTAAATTCTCCTATAAATTATTTTAAAATATTGACAATGTAAACTTCACCAAAAGGAAATTTCAACAGCTATTCATAAATAGAAAAGGTACTTAGAAGCATTTAATAATATTTAATGTTTTATTCTGATCCAACTTTAGCAGTCTTCTACATATCTTAAAAATATGTATCCTTCTCAAGACTGGGAAACTAAGTATGCCTTAAACTCCACTAGTCCCATAATATACACATGTCATTAAAGCTTCTTAAAACATCTTCCCTTCACTCTCCACATATTCAGGGTTTCCATATCCTCTAACCAGTCAAATATCACTATCACTGTAAAATCTTCCCTGACAACACAGACTAAAGCATTTCTTCCTCCTATCAGCTACTAATGACCCTGTGATGTCACTGTATTATCACCGTAGCAGTTATTTAAGCTATCAGTCACTGAGGGCAAGGACAATAATCACAACGCTTAAATATACACATCTGGTGCTATTTTACCCATGGACAAAATTATTAGTTTTAACCATACTGTCATTGCCTAAAACAAGATATAAATTTATATTATTTATTTCTTATTGCATGTGTGAATTGTCTGTTTACGTCATATTCCTAATTTTTTTATTGGCTTTATGGTCCTTTGTCCTTCATTTTTAAGAGTTCTTTATATACCAGCCTTAATATATCTGTAATGTATGTAGTTAAGTATTTTCTCCCAGTTTGTTAACTGTCCTCTGGCTTTGTTGGTCTCTTCAGCCATGTAATTTTTAAAATTTAGTTAAATTTATCAATCATTTATTTTATTGTCTCTGGATTCTGAGTCACAGTAAAAAAGTCTTTCCCTACCCTGACAGTAAAATACTAGTATGGTTTCTTTTTTTGAGACAGGACCTTGCTCTGTTGACCAAACTGGAGTACACTGGCATGATTACAGCTCACTGCAGCCTTGACCTCCTGAGTTCATGCAATCCTCCTATCTCAACCTCCCAAGTAGCTAGGACTACAGGTACATGCCACTACCTGGCTATTTTATTTTTTGTAGAGATGGGGTCTCCTTAAGTTGCCCCAACTGGTCTAGAATTCATGGGCTCAAGCGATCCTCCTGCCTCGGCCTCTCAAAAGTGTTAAGATTACAAGCATGAGCCACCATGCTTGGCCTAGTTTCATTTCCTAACATTTACATTACAGATCCATTTGGAGTTTATTCCTATGTATGGTATGAGGTATGGATATAATTTTAGGGTTTTTTTCCAAATTAACTCCATTCCTCAGCCTTAAGACTTAGTGAAGAAATGCCACCTTTATCATATACTAGATTTCCATACATACTTGGATGTATTTCTGGGCTTATAATTCTGTTCAACCAGTATATTGGTGTACATATATGTGTCAGTACCACATTACTGTAATTATAGTCTGTTTTATTGTCAGATACAGCTGTATATCATCTCAGTCCCATCCAAAGTTTACATTTAAAATGTGTTTCTCTGTTTAACAAATAACTATGACTACAGGCTGAACTGAATTTCTTTATACTTAGTGTGTGCTCTGAATATCAAAAATGTAAAATATAATGTGATTTTATACTGAAAATTCAGTGCCAATTTGAGATATATTAACTGGATTCTACTATACTATGCATAGGAACTGTCGAGGTCTTTAGAATGTTCCTACTAGATCCTCAAATGGCCTTTTCTTTTTAACTTTTTATACTCTACTTTCCCCACTGCCCATCTCTTCCTTTGATATTAGGCCATCAGCCAGTCATTCTTGCTTTCATGACCTGTACTTATCTCAATCATCATGTTTTCATCATCCAATGTCCCAATTTTAATCCACTTTGATCTGATGAGGAAGGTAACTAATCTAATTAGAAATGAATAAAATTAGAACAAACAGAGTTGGAATGATGTAAATGAACTGTAACTGCGAAAATCATGGTATCTACTGTGCTGCTAAAAGGAGTTTGTGCCTACAAGTTTGTAATTCTAAAGTCATCTAATTAAACCTCTTTTGCATTGTATGAATTCTTATCCTCATATCCCTGAAAGCTATCATCTCAAAAATTCGTTAATAAGAAGGTATCCCACCATCATCCAAGTTATCATGTTCCAAATTGAATAGTTCTAGGGATACAGCAATCTTCCCTACTTTCCAACAAATGAGTCTCCCTAAAATTTTGATGCATTCATTCTAGTTATAGAATCCTCCTGTAACATGCAAATTCTCCTTCCGTATGATGACAATCTTTCAAATACCAGTTCTGTCAAGTCTTCACTTCAAGATTACATCCCCCCAACCCGAAGAAAGAAAAAAAAAAAGGACTATACTGCCTAGCTCTTTCATCAAATCAAATAAAATGGATGCCCAACCCTACTCTACCCTTACCTTAGACCTTAGTTTTAGGATGTCGATATTCTTCATAAAATTCCATCAGAAACAGAGTCTAGACGCTAAAGTGAATTTATGAATCACTTTTAGGTAACAGAGGCAGTTACATATGACTTTATTTAAAGAAAGTACATGATGTGGCTAACTCACAATTACTCTGAAGAAAAGTACTTTCATAAAAAAATTTGCACAATAACTTACCATAGACATCTGGGGGTCAGGAACTTTCACTAATTCAAAACTTGTTAAAATTGGAGATGATTCATCACCGTCCTAGATTACAGAGCAATAATTTTTTTAATAAAGAAATTTAATCCAATAGGAAACAGTATATGATGTACACACCAATGTATTTTAATTCTATTTGATGAACATCATTCTTACCTCTAAAGAAATCCTTATCTTCTTCTAACAATACTATAAAATGCATATCCACTTTGTACCTCTCTTTGGTTGATCATGAAATTATTTTGAGAAAAACTCTAACAAAACTGTTACTAAAGTTTTAGAGATATGAGGTCTGGAAATTAGATTGTTTTGAGTTGTTCCTTTTCTTTTAAACTTCGTTCATATAATAACAGTGGATTTTTAAAAACGTGCTAATTTTTAAACTCAGAACAAGAAACCACAGACTAGATGTAAAATATGGCACAATGGATGTGTTGCACCACTTGCAAAAACTAAGTGGTAATTTTTCAAGGTATCACAACTGAGATCTATTCAAAGGAGCAGAATTTTAAGTGTGGGGTTAATATTACTCAAATTTATACACAGCCAGAGAATTAACAACATTGTTTCTCAAAGGTACACCTGCTCGACATAATCTAAACTTGAATAATAAAATCAATCAATCATTTCTTCAGAAATAAAACCATCCTATTTTGTTGGTATTATCACCTTTGAAGAATGTTGGCTTTTATTTTTATCCAATGCGAGAAAGGTAATTCAATATAAAAATGTCACTGCCAAATATACTGGAAAAAGGCTACACTAATTAAGGTCAAAATTCACTTTCTCATGATTGTATATCTAGCATCAAGCTTTTCTGTCAATTTCCAAATGCTAGTATGTTTTCAGTTTTAAATACGGGCAACAAACTCAGGAGAGACTGAAAGCAGAGAAGCACTGTGACTTTACTTCAGTTCAGTAATTGAGTCTTACAGAAAACCACAAATTCCCACAGCCGTTGTTTAACAGGCTTGTTCTCAGTCACAACACCAGAAAACACATTTATCAGCCCAACTGTGACAAGTAATCTTCACTAAGGCTATCTGTCACAAAAGACAGGTGACAAGAAAGTCTATTTCCATTAGATTCAATACACTGGCCCAGCAATCTTTACACTAAGTGGAAATATGACAGGGTGAGTAGACGGGCATTAATTTATGAGCAATTTTCAGGAAGTGGTAGAAAGGGGTCAAGAACCTTTTCAAAAATACTTGAAATTCTTCTAATTTCTATTCTGTTATTATTTCATCTGCTATCAAAGCGTCTTTCATAGGATCCTTCACATCTACAACGTTTCAAAGTACCTTCTCCATTAGCATGTTTTTGCAATACAAACTCTATGTGGGCAGAAAATACTGCTTTTAATGAAATGATATATAGTATAAAATATAAAATACGATTTTATTAAAATGCACTGGTGACAGAACAGTTTCACTCACATTTCCCTTTTTTTGATCTATTTTTTCTAATAAATTAATAAACAGTGTTAAATAATCTATCCAAGGGGCACCATTTGTAAAATAAAAGGCAGAAACAAGTTAACACTTCCTAGTCTTTCACTAACATGGAAGGGATATTAAGTTAAAGACAAAAATATGAACAGTAACTTGAAAAAAGATAATAAATAAACGGTAAAAACTCAAAACTTCATTATGAAAACCTTTCCAACAGTAATTTATAAAAGTATATACATTTGAAAAATCACTTGTGACAGCTTTAATAAACAACAATAAAATGTAAATTTAATTTAAAAGGACTGCTTCTAATGAACAAATACACTGCATATCAGCTTGGTCATATGCTAGAAGAAATATTAATCTATTCATCTACTACTATGCCATGTATCAAAAGTCTGTCATCATTTACGCTGATTTAACATTTGTCGACTATTAACACAATAACAGAAGACATTTTATGTGGTTTCAAACTATGCATACTTTTAAAAATCTTTTTATATTTATTTTAAATAAAGATGAAGTCTCGCCACGTTGCCCAGGCGGGTCTCAAACTCCTGGGCTCTAGTAATCTTCCCGCACAGTCAACCACAGTGCTGGGATTATAGGCATGAGCCACCATACCTGGCCTGCATACAATTATTTTCTGTAGTACTTAAATATATAATTATTTCTGTAGTACTCAAATGAAGCACCTTCTACAAAAATATAAGGAAGATACTTTCAAGTAGGTACATACTAAACACAGAACTACTTTCTGTAGCATAATGGGCAGAACAAAGCAAATCTATAACTGCATATTTGTTATTACCCAGCTTGATGGTAAAATTGTTGCCTTAATTTTGCATCTGCTGTACAAATAAATGAACATTTCTGAAGAATTTCATAAGTATACGTTAGTGAGGGCCACATACAGACATTACACATACCCTCAAATAACAGACTCTTAACTTTCAATAAATAGCCTACCACTTAGAAATATAATTTCCCCCTTTCATTTTCTCAATAAATAATATTAGTAAATAAAGTCATTACTTAGCGTCCTACTTGCCAATTTGCAGAACAATTAATCACAAAGTTTTTAATCACTTGCATACTTACTGAATTCTGTAACCCAGAACTGCATTACATGAGTGATCAGCTTTTGTAATCTTGTTGTAGTTATATGATTTGATTTGTGTATACATAAACAGCTGCTGCTGACAGCTGTCTGATGCTACCCTGCAACCAAGTAATTCATCCCAGCAGGAACAACAGTAATACTTTTTAATGTTTCCTCTCCCCTCTAGAGAGCAAAAACAGTTCCAAGGCAAATACCTTTTCATAATAAACAATACCATATTCCTTATCATCACACTTGACACATCGAAACTCAACCATCAGGTACATGAAATTAGAACTTCGTTTTTCACTCTGAAAAAGAAAAAAATGATTTTCATGAAAAATGATTATTTTCAACATTCTCTTAAAGGATCAGTATGCATCATTTCTCCCAATTCAGTAACACACGTATCTATCGAATACAAGTCAAAACATAACACATTTTTATTTTATTATATAGATGTAGTGTGTTTTACACAGCACTATTATTTTATTACAGACAGCACTACTGTTTATTCAGTGGTGTCTACCATGCACTTATAACTGCTTTCTCAAATTGAACATTTTTGGTGTATTCAGTAGTTTGGGTTTATAATCTTGAAGGTATTTTGCACACATGTTCATGACAACTATTTTATTTCAAAAAAAAAAAGACTGGTTTGTCTTTCTAACAACTGTAAGCTAAGTTCACCCTTAACCTATATGACTAAACTATAGAAATCAATATATGTAACAAAAATAAAAAATAAAAAAAGTGTGCAACCTAAGAAAAGATACCATTTGAGTTTACCAAGTATAGCCCTTACAAGTTTCTCACAATTTATAAATGGTCTTAAAATGATTTGTCACTTGTAAATTTTTATCCACACTTTAAATATACTGCGGAATAATTACTTCTTGTTCCAATATAAAAAAAATTATTTATATAATTGTGTCCCCTTTAAAATAAAAAAGCAAACATGGTCACATGTCACTTAACAATAGGAACACATTCTGAGAAATGTATCATTAGGCAGTTTAGTCATGTGAACATCATGAAATGTAAACACACAAATCTAGATGGTATAGCCTACTGCACACCTAGGTTATATGGTATAGCCTATTACCCCTAGGCTACAAACTTGTTACTTCAGGTTAATTCAGGTTACTGTACTGAATACTGTGGGCAACTGTAACACAACAGTTAAGCACCTGTATATCTAAACATACCTAAAAGAGAAAAGGTACAGTAAAAATAAAGTACTGTAATTTTATGGAACCACCACTGTACATGTGATCTGTGGTTGAACGAAATGATGTGATGAGGCACATGCCTGTATTAGGGTGATGATGAAGTGAAAATACAATGAAGTCTAAAGGGATAATTAGCCTTGACTCAAAACACCTGTATAAAAGGTTTGCGATCTAATATGTAAAATCACCAGGCATGGTGGCTCACACCTATAATCCTAGCACTTTGGGAGGCAGAGGTGGGAGGACTGCTTGAAGCCAGGAGTTTGAGACTATCCTGGGCAACAGAGCCAGACTCTACAAAAAACTCTGAGACTATCCTGGGCAATAGAGCCAGTCTGAGACTATCCTGGGCAATAGAACTAGACTCTACAAAAAACTTTAAAAATATTAGCCAGGCCTGTAGTCCTAGCAACTTGGGAAGCTGAGGCAGGAGGACTGCCTGTGTCCAGAAGTTTGAGGCTGCACTCGGCATACCAGGGTAATCCAGTCTGGGTGACAGAGCAAGACCTTGTCTCAAAAGAGAAAAAAAAGAAATGATAATAAATAATAAAGGTCTGAAGAGGTTACTTACATTATTCAGCTTTATGAAACATATTATAGTCTATTTTGGTAATGGTAATAGGGTGGTAATGGTAATTTCTTTTAAAGAAATTAAAATGTGAAAACATGAAAAAGGCTGGGCAAAGAACACTCTAACATTACATTTTCCATACCCAGTGATATCTAAGTTTAAGAGAAAAACGTAAGTTAGTATTATGAGTAAACTTTTTGAAATGTGACTATTATAAAAATAAAAAAGTAAGCCTTTCTTCCAGTTTAAGTATATAAGAATGTATTATGAATAAATTTAGAAAAGGGACCAAATACGAGAATTGAATATAAATGTTGTTCAACATCACTACCTTTATTTTAAAATAAAAGAATGCTAAAATCTAACTTTTACAATGGTTCACTGTAAAATTAAAAACTTCTCTCTTTCTACCTGCTGAAAATTATTTGGAGAATATAAATTAAGTAAGTTGTGGCTGATGGTCATTATAAATTAGACAAATCACAAATTGATGTCCTTCTCTCCTAATCTGATTAAAAATATAATTATTATTTCTGTTCTCTAGGTGTGGAACATTAGGCCTAACATCTGGTATTTTAGAGCAAATATACAAAAAAGGAAACTATTCTTGTTACAACTTCTGGCAGGACTCTCATTGAAGCCATCTTTATTTAAACATACTCACTGGCTCATATACAAGGTCAAGAAAAAAAAAATCACTTAAATCATGCACCCTTACAGAGGGTGCAGAGTCCTATATGCACCCTCTATAGACAAGCGATAAATTAATCGAAGAGAGAACTTGCTGAAATGATTTATGGTAACTGAAGTGAAAAGTTGGCACTGTGCTGATGGAAGATTTATCCAACACTGACTTGAACATGAGCTGATACGACAGAGAACCCACCACTGAGGCATTAAGCCTGCACAGGTTTCACTCATATGGTATTTAGAACATCTTACAATATCCACTAACTACTTCATGGTTTGACATTACGTTAAAATATAGGGAAGGCTGATACCTCAAATTTTCCAGTTATTAGTATAGAATTCCCAGCTACAGGGGTTAACCCTAATAATCCTACATTTGTAAGATACCTAATAATAAACAATTCTTATCAAAAAATTGTTAATTTAAAAATACAGAAAATATTTTAAAATAAAAGAGGGATATAACCCACCTCATTTATCATTTCTATTTCTCTAAATGTCAATCTATCCAGCCAATCTACTTTCACCATGTGTCCTTGTCGATGAGCTTTGGTGAGCTGCAGAATAAATACAATGATGAGAATTTTAATATAGATCTAGTAGAAAGAAGGACCAAGAATGTCAGAATGGCAATGTCCGCTTCACATGATACTTACCTATACACAAGAGAAACCATATGCAACTAGCAGGATAAGAAAGTTGGCAAGAGACAAATCATTATTTTTTTAAAGAAAAACAATTACATTTTTTTAAAAAGGTCCACAATTTGCCATATTTTGACATGATAAAGAATAATGAAGTTGTTCCTGAAATTATCTCCATGTTCTATATTTCTCATATTTTGACTATTACAAAAAGATGGAATTATATAAATAGTTTCATGAATGGGAAAAAATCAGTTTTTTCTTCCCAGCTTTCAATATATCTAACCAACATGAATAAATGACAGTTACAGGTAATAAGGCATTTTTCTGGGTTTATACATTAATATTCTAAGGTTTAAGCTTACACATATTCATGTATGCTTTAATTTTAGGGAACGGTGATAAAAGACTTCAGTTTTCTAGAATAGCAGTTGGTAGAGTCCTGTGAGGTCTTATGTACCAATCTAACCTTAGTTTTATAAATTAAATAATAATTCTTCGACTCCTTCAATCCATAGAGATTTCCAGGTAAGTTCCAAGGTCCTCAAATTAGAACCAGGTTTTGAATTAGAATGTGTAATACTAAAAATCAACACTCCTCTCATTCCTTCTAAACAAATTGACAGTATAAAGCAAAACTGGACATGAAAGTTTTACATAGTAGCTTATCTATATCAGTTTCTTCCACTTCACTGTCCATATCATGACAGCATTCCTACAAGAACAGCAAACACTGCCATCAATTTTCTCTCTCTTGCAGACCTAAAAATCTTCACTATCAATCTTTTTTCTCTTCCTCAACTCATCACAATTATGTGGTCACACTATTTCAGAAATAAAAATACTAACGTCACACAAAAAGTCTGAAGTTCATTTTAATAAAAAAAAAAAGTATTATCAATTTAGCTTTCTTCCAATAATTCCCTCTCACGTGAGGTAATTTCTGTATGAAATTGTATGAAAAGTTATTAATAAGCTTAGCATGATTACAAAAAGCAGCAACTAAATATTGTGTTGGCTCTGGTGGAATAATAGACAAATATGCTAGCAACATGGAAAGAGACCTAGAAATAGTCACAAGGAAACCAAAAGAAGATCAGGCAATGTGACCTACAGAAAAGAGTGATAGAGTAGAAGCCGGAAGACCAGAGTTCCAACCTTAATACTCCATTTTCAAACTATGTCCTTTCTGAACCCACATAAATAAAATCAAAGTATTAACGTCTATTCTTACTCCCAAAACTCAACTAAAATTACAGATGCAAAATATAACAGGTGGTATTATTTCATGCAGTCATTGGAAGCTTCTATTCTCACTCACTTCGCATTATGCTGCAAATTGGTTTTCCAAATAAATGAAAATATAAAAGGTCATTTTACATCCTTTGCTTGTACAAATGAAATAACAATTAGTAATAAGAGTTTGTATACTTCCTAGAGGAATGGAGAAAAAAATAACATTTATTTACATGCCAAATTATAGGCACTTTTTATAACCACACTATTTCATAGACAATTTTGACCCCCATTTGCAGATGACTATCAACTACTACTATGAAGCGGCCAAGCTAGGGTTTAAATCCCGGTCTATATGATTCTAAAGCCTATACTCCTACCACCAGTCTCTGCTATCCTCTCTACTGATGTACGATGAATTTTAAGTGAAACTCATTTCTGTCATTTCTTGAATATTAGTTTTGTATTTATGATGCAATAGTTGATCCACTACTAATTTCCTATGAGCAAAGAATTGGCAATGGTAAATTAAGTTTAGATGAGGGAGAATGTGGTGGGAACTTTTTCCTCCTTTACTAAAACTATTCAGACAAATTAGAAATGTTCTAAAGCCATTTTCACTAGCTCACGAATTTATGTTTGCTGCTAATATATATTATCTCCCATATAGCATATGATTAGCTTTCTAATTTGAATACCAAATATGACCGATTGCACAAGAGCCACTAAAGAATGTATGGACAGCATGCCAGTACTAAAATTGGTACAGTCACTATGAAAATAAGTTTAAATTATACTAGAGAAATTCACATTTGTGCACCATTATTTGCAGTACAGAAAAATTAGACACAAAAGAATGAAAATGTCCATCAATAGTAGGAACTGTTAAGTAAACTACACACACACAATAAAATACTATAATCAGAAAGAATGAGAAAAATCTGTATGCCTTAACAGGAAAGATATTGTTGACTGCAAAACTGATTGTGAAATTAAAGGTACCATTTATGCTATGGAAGTTGTTTGCATGTCTATCTCCTGTACCCGACTTTGAGATTGACGGCAAAAATTCTGTGTATCTGAGTTAATTTTATGATTTTCACAGATTCGAACAGTTACCACTCAAAATGTCTCCTAGCTGCCTGTCCTATTTACCTATTACTCCATAACAAACCACCCTAAAACTTAGTGGCTTAAAACAACATTTTATTGTTTCTCTTTACTTTTTTGGCAAAATCATCTTCTTGAGAGACATTTAAGTAATTTTTTCTTGTAGTCTCACTCATTGGTAGTCACAATATTGTATTCATTGGATGGTTGGAGCTGGAACATCCAAGCTGGCTTGACTCACATTTCTAACACCTTGGTGATAAAGGGTGGGCTTAGCTGGGATACCAGGGTGGTAGGGCCTCTCGTTCCCCACGTATTCTCAGTGCTGCTCCCTCTTCAAGTGGTTTTTCAACTTGGTCACTCCAACAGAATAGCGGGACTTCTTACATGATGACTTAATGTTTCCAACATGTGAAGAAACCAAAGCTGTCACACTGTCTTGCCTAGAACAGATGCAGCGTCACTTCTGCTGCATTTCATCAGTTAAAATGAGTCACAGGGTAATACAGATATAATGTGGAAGAGTGTGACTACCAGAAGGCATATTTCATTGACCATCAGAAAGCACATTCATTTCATATTTCATTTCATCGAGCTAGTCTCCTAAGAGACTAGCTACCACAGTGCTTACTTATCACAGAGTCCAAGCACATAGTACAATTAATTGTTCCACTGCAATGGAGCAGGTGTGTACAGTTTAGAGATGGCAAAGTCAGCTCTTGGCTGGACTTTAGGCAGCAGAAAAAGTCTAGAACTAGCTATCACAATTGCTAAATGATCCATCGCTGCCTTCCTCTTCAGAATAATCTCCTTCAACTCTCCAATACATTCACCAAACTCCAGCTAACACAGTCTCTTCTGTTTCTTCAAACCATAAAGCCGTTTACCTTTACTGCTTAATGCAGGTGAAATAGTTATTAATAATTACATTAATTTTTATTAATTTTATAAAACTATAAAGCACTATGTAAGCTGTAACAGCTATTCTAATTACTACATAACCTATGTCACTTCATCTCTTATGGGTGCTGATAACAATGTAGATATACTCGAGAGGTTTTCATCAGTCCAAAGCAACTTCTAGTTATCCCCAATCCAGGAACTTCTATAGATACTAAAGACCAAAAATGAACAATAAACACAGGTGGCATAACAATTGATATTTCATTTTGGATCTGAAATGTCAGTGATTTGGATCTTTCCAAAGAGAAAACCTGCATTCTGTTAAGCACCAGGGTAAAAGTAGGGCAATCTGTTTCAATTACCCGTGAAGAAATAATCCTCACTAGGATGCCCATTCTAGGATGGGGACAAGTCAAGAAATAAGAAAAGAAAAAAAAAAAAATTCATTCTCTCTTTTTAAAGGAACACAGGTTTCTTACAGAATTCACAGGAAGTCACAAAGAGGAAGAAAAGTCCACTGTCACACACACACACACACACACACAAAATGGCATAATTTATTCTAACTTCTCCAAGAATTAAAGAGCAAGGAGTTTTAAAAGGTATTTAAATAAAAGAATCCACGAGATCCAAATAACAACACGCCTGGGAAACTTCTTGGAGTACTAATTCTGTATTGTCAGATTTAATAGAAGAACAAAAAGATGTGCTTGAGGAAGATGTCTCAGATTAGTACGTGTCTAATAAAAGTATAAAGGACAGAGCCAAAAGTAGGCCAACTTGCTGCACTGTGTAAGAATAAGACCAGCAGGGAAACAAATTTCGGAGCAGACAGTGATCCTTGGAAATAGAGAAACTTCCATGATCATTAAAACTCACAGTTCATTGCTCCATATTCTTCTCTGCTTTACTAGACAAAAAAGGTTCCTGAGTGCAAGAGCTATGAATGGTCACTAGAAGCTAGCATTTATTCATTCAATGCCAATTTATACTTACTGAAAGACTTTCTATGTGAAAGAATGACAGACATAATGAAAAACAAATGTAAGTACACTCTGATATTCTACCCAAAGAGCTTTGGGGCTTCAGGGGAAGAGGTGGCAGCTGGAGAGAGAGAAAAAAAAGAAAGATTCCTGTTCTTGGTCACTCTTCCCTAATCCTTATACACTCTCAATACAAATATATGTAACTTTCTGGCTATTAAGTAACAAACTTCCATCATGTCCTCTGTCCTTGAGATGAGTATAGAATGTTGAACTAAAGCAGCAAGTTCTCTGCCCTAACAGAACATCAAGGTGGAAATAAGTGAGTCATTCAATATAGTAAGCACTTAAAAGTGTAACTATAAATTGGAACAGTGATATGAAAGTAGTACCTTATGACTGATAACTTAGAAATACAGGATATGAGCAAATCAAGTAAGTTGTCTAAAAGCAACTTAAAAATATAATCCTCACTTTTCAAATCAACAGAAAATGAACCAAGAATTTCAAACATTTTTAATATCCAACCGTAGAAGACTGCTGAAATCAATTATGACTTATCCACACTATGCAAAACCCTCCAGCCTTTACAAATTATGTGGCAGAAGTATCTTAAATAACCTGGAACAATTTTGAGACACCATTAAATGCAAAAGCAAGGTTCAATTAAACACACAGATA